TGCTAACAATCTGTATGGTCTGGCAAAGTCTCAAAAATTGCCTTTAAAGAACATCCAATGGGCAAAGAAAACACATAACAGTGAAAAGTGGGATGAAAAAGATGAGTATGCTTTCATCCTTGAAGTGGATTTGGAATATCCAGAAACACTACACGACTACCATTCGGACTATCCATTAGCACCTGAAATCATGAATGTCAATGCTAACATGCTTTCAGAATATCAAAAGGAAATCTTCAAAATTTACTATGGAAACAAAGAACCGAAGGACGAGAAAACCAGCAAGTTAATATTAAATTTGAAAGATAAAGAAAATATGTGGTTCATATCAAGACTTTACAGTATTATCTAAAAATGGGTATGAAACTCACCAAGGTTCATAGGATAGTAAGATTTCAACAGCGGGCTAAGAGGAAAGAAGCGAAGAGTGACTTTGAGAAAGACCTGTTCAAATTAATGAATAACGCAGTGTCTGGAAACACTATGGAAGACAAAAGAAAACATATGGATTTTGAACTGGTAGATAATGATGTTAGGTATGAAAAATGTGTGAATAATCCAACATTCAAAAATAGATTTATCATAAATGAAAATCTGGTAGGAGTGGAAAAGACAAAGTCGGTCTTGAAATTGGATAAACCCATATTCTTAGGAATGACAATATTGGATTTGAGTAAATTACATATGTATGAGTTTTACTATGGGTGTATTGAAAAAGAAATATCATGAAAATATCAAATTGATAGATACAGATACTGACAGTTATGTAATTCAAACCTTCACTGATGATGTCTACAAGGATTTTCAAGGTATCAAGCAGCATATGGATTTTAGCGATTATCCTGTTGAACATCCATGCCACGACAAAACAAACAAGAAGGTCTTAGGAATGTACAAAGATGAAGTCAACGGTAAAATCATTACTCGATTCATCGGGTTGAAACCTAAATCATACGCTTTCACAATTCATGGTGAAGATGAGGAACACAAGAAATCAAAAGGTGTAGTGAAACATAAGGTGAAGCAGGAACTGACCTATCAGAACTATCATGAAGCACTGCATCATAACAAGAAGCACGAAATCTCCTACAACTTCATCAGGAGCAAAACACAGCAAATATATTCAATGTCTCAAATCAAGCAATCACTCAGTAATTATGAGAATAAAAGACATTACTTAGATGCCTTTACTTTTTTACCATATGGACACTATACAATAAAATAAATATCTAAATAATTCTAATAATATGAAATTATTAGAATTTTTTAGTGGTACAGGTAGTGTTGGTATGGTCGCTCGTGATTTGGGCTACAGTGTGATTTCCTTGGACTTGAAAAATGCTGATATCAATCAGGATATTCTGAGTTGGAACTACAAAGAGTTTGATGTTGATGATTTTGATGTGATTTGGTCATCTCCTCCGTGCACAGAATACAGCATAGCGAAGACGAGGGGTGTCCGAAAGATTGAGTATGCTAATAGTATTGTTTTGAAAACCCTTGAAATCATCGACTACTTCAAACCGAAGTGGTGGGTCATTGAAAACCCTGCGACTGGACTTTTGAAGGAACAACCCTTTCTGAATGGTTTGAAATATTATGATGTGGATTACTGTAAATATGGTATGAACTACAGAAAGCGAACGAGGTTGTGGACTAACATTGAAACGTGGAAACCCAGACCATCATGTAGAAGGGATTGTGGCAAGATAAGAAATGGAAAACATCTTGAAACTGATCAACGGTTGCCAAGTGGTAAAAAGGCTGATTGGGGTGATGGATACATCAGTCATAAACAAGATGAGTTGTATACGTTACCTACTGATTTAATACTTGACATTTTGATGAGTTTGACGGATTAAGGAATTTGTGTTTGGGCTCTCAATACCCTCGGTATGAAATACCCCTAGTATGCTACACCCGCAGTGTTTGGGTCTGTTATACTGTGATACCCTTGGTATTTGGGTCTGTTATACCCTCGGTATTTGGGTCTGTTATACTGTTATACCCTTGGTATTTGGGTCTGTTATACCCTTGGTATTTGGGTCTGTTATACTGTTATACCCTTGGTATTTGGGTCTGTTATACTGTTATACCCTCGGTATTTGGGTCTGTTATACTGTTATACCCTCGGTATTTGGGTCTGTTATACTGTTATACCCTCAGTATTTGGGTTCTCAATACCACCTAGCATGTGACACACCTTGAATTAATCCTCTGCAGGTTGGTTCAAATCACCATTCTGCGGGGGGCTACACAGACCAATTAATAAAAGGATATGTATATAGTTGTTGTGAGTATGGTATGTCTTGTTATAGTTGTTGTATCGCTGGTGAGGTTGAATTTGGAACAAATTAACTGTTGTTTATTCGTATTATTTAATCATAATATGATTAAACCAAGGAAACACATAATAATACTTAAATAAAAGACACCTTATAATATTAAGAAGTGAAATGCCAATGATAGGAGTGACAGAAAAAGAGCTGGAACAGGATAGATAGATAATATTGAGTTTCATTAAGGATAATCCCTATCCATCGTATAAACGAGTCATTGAAATAATTAAAAACGATAAAACATTGGAAGATATATATCTAGATATGTTCGCCGAGTATGGAGAACAAAATCATCAATGGATAAAAGAGATTTACGAAAACAAAACGAAAGAAGAACTCGTTAAACATAATGGTAATAGTATTAATGAAAGAGGAGGAATGACAACAATGCATTGTAAGTATTATACTTTGATATCAGTGTTGCGTTATTTAATACAACAAAGAGCACCAATGAAAGATTATGACGTTAACTCAACCTGGTATAATATCAGAAACATCTTAAGCAGTTCTTGGAACAACATAGGAGACTGGAAACACTGAAAATAGGTTTATTCATATTATTCTATAACTATAATATGGTTACAACAACGTTTTATAATCTAACAAGGCATTTAAATGAAACCTGAAACCCCCAGCTAAAAACTACTTAAAGAAAATAATATAATATAATAAGAGACAATGAGTGAGAATTGGACTAGCTTACCTGTTGATGTATTAAAAAATAAATTTCATATAAATTAGGAGGACCTGAGTATTTGAATATAAAACAAAATCATATTGAGAAATTAAAGAGAATACAACAGCGATATAAATTTAAAAGAACTGAAACAAAAAGAAAGACAAAGCACTGCACTGTTGTAGGTGGTGATGATTTCAAGAGACACATAATTAAGTATTACATTTCAAGAAATATACCTTTTAGCATTAAAAGCATTGAAGATATAGTTTTTAATGAAACTGAAAACTTAGATTGTTTGTTAGATGGTATTGTAGACGATGAAGGTTATGAAGTAACGTTAATAGCTGAGGTAAATTTATTTGTAAGATACCATCAAGACGATGAATTTAACATTCGTTATTTATGTTTTCATAGTGATGAGGTTGTAGATAATGTAACCAAGTATAATATAGAAGATGTACTGAGAGCGGCACAGCAAGAAATATACAGTGATATGGATGAAGACAGAAATAGAATGAATTTTGAAGGAGTAAAAAAACATAAGGTTGAAACTAATTATTGATAAACCTTTATAATTCAAAACTAAACCATAATTATATCATTTATATTATTATATGTTATAATTATAGCAAACTTTTAACCTATAAACATTTCATGAAATGACAAACCACAACAACCGCCCAAAAGCCAACCCATGAAACCACAGAAAGTCCTAACCTCTTTCAATCAATAAAACTGAAAGTTGAAATCTGGAACGAAACAGGGGACAAAATCATCAATTCGTTACCACATCCATATCGTTATTTCATGCCCCCACAATCAGCCTTTTAAAAACGAATAAGGTGGTACACGTGTTGAATTGTGAAATAAACAACAGAACAGGCAATCATCTACCCCCCCACCCCCTAGAATCAGCCTTTTCTACATTTTTTCCCCGCCCCCCCCCCTTTGATTAGAATGCACCCCTAATTGAATCATCACCTTTTCGATCATCATGCGGCAGCCGCCCAACAACCTCCCGCTACTTTTTAGATTTCTTGCAGAGATTTAATTGCACCCCTATTTGAATCATCATTTTTTGAGCATCCAATTTCGCGAGAAAATGCTGTAAAATACAACATTTTATGTCATCGATGTAATCCCTGTATGTCGGTATGTATGCACTTGATCGACCATCATAGGGCAAGCCACCCCCGCCAACCATTTCTTGAGTCATTGCACCCCTATTTGAATCATCACTTGAACATCATGGGGGGCTGCCGCCCCCCCCCCCCCCCCAATCCCCCCGCTACTAACCATTGTTTTGCCCCTAACTGAATCATCACTTTTTCGATCATCATGAGGGAGGGGCTGCTCCCCCCAACCCCCCGCCCCCCTCCCCGCTACTTTTTAGATTTCTTGCCCCTAATTGAATCATCACTTTTTCGATCATCATGGGGGCTCCCCCCAACCCCCGCTACTTTTTAGATGTTTTGCCCCTAATTGCATCATCATCCGGGGAACCCCTGCTGCTTTTTAGCATGCATACAGAAATCCCTACCTACCTTGCCGGAGAGGAACTGATGCTGAGGATGTAGGAAGCCGGTTTGCTGGTGATGCTGGGGATGTTGGCTGGACATGCGGGGGATGTTGAAAACGATGCTGATGATGTTGACGGGCCAGTGTCAAATACGTACATTTCGTGAGAAAATGCTGTAAAATACAGCATGTTACTGGCCAAGACCAACAATAAAACCTCAACAAATATATTAAAAACATCGACCCCTTCTAAAGCGTACAAGACCTGGTTGGGTGCGAGGATAGCAGCAAGGAATCGCTGTGCGCCCAACGAGATGTGCCTCTCGTTTCATTTGCCAACTCGCGTTGCCACACATCGACAATGAGCCAAAGGCACTTGCGCTACTTTAGCTGGTCAATTCTGGGCTAACTGTCTAGATGCGACACTGAAGACGACAATCAGATACGGAACCGGAAGCTGTCAGGATGAAGCAATGTATGATCCGGAGCTCCATGATAACTTTCTGAACACTGGCATCACTGTGCAGAGCATACTATGTCGGGAGCTCAGCCGGGTAGGAGTGTCTCAGTTTGCTCGCGCAAGGTATGCCAGTCTTCAGAGGTGGAGAAGTGCACGGAGTTATTTCGGTCATCAACAAGCCCTGTCCTTGTCTTCCCGTTTTCCTTATCGGCTTGTCCACATTCATGCAGTTTACACAAGAGCAAGGAAGGACCACAGCGGCACTTTTACCCAAAAGGATGAGGACGTGCTGTCGGCAATATGCACCTTGAGCTGGAAAAGGTCCACCTTGAGACCTTAAGCTACTTAAGCCTTGCTGGGCCCCAGCAGAGGCTCCCACATCTCGGTCGCGGTCGGTGACGACAAGCAGACCTTCAAGGAGGCCAGGACCTGAGAAACCGAAGTCGAATCGACAGAAATCGAAGTCTCAAGGGTTTTTCTTTTCTTGGTGTGTTTCTTCTTTTCTTTTCTTCTTTCTTTTTTTTTCGCCTTGAGACTTGAGGTCATTGAGCAGTGCGAGAAGTCGATGCGCACCACAGGCGAGGCTCATAGCCCCTGCGAAGCGTTGGCGTGCGGAGGGGTGTCACGCCTGTCACAGGCTCCCCGGAGTTCACCTCTGCGGCCTCCCAGCGCATGGCGCGGCGTGTTCTGCAGTCGGTTTGCGTCCCAACGGTGCCAACGCAGGCCACGCTCTTCGTGCCTGCTTTGGAGGGCATCCGAACTGTGCTTGGTGCAGAGGCTCAACGCAAGCCGAGAGCGGCTTCGGACGTCGATTTGGATCGAGGCCACTGCGCTGATGCTCCTCGACCCGGAGAGACAAGAGCTGTTTTCCGAGGCCCGGAGCTTGCTTGCCTCATGTGCCACACCAGCGCTGAGCGCGTGACACGACCAGGTGATAGACGGACCGCTCCCGCACCACAGCACTCCTGTTGGACTGAGGCTCAGGGGACAGAGGATTCTGCACCGCGCTTTATGAATCGATCCTGCAAGCTGTGCGAGTGTCTAAGGTGTGGGCGTGGTCGGAGAGGCCCCGCGCTTCACCCCGCACAAAAACCCTATTTTGCTCGCTTCATGTGCAGGCAGTGCAGGTTGGGCACGTGATGAACGTGGATGTCCGTGACCAGGAGTCAGGCGACTGTATTCAAACTGCGCAATGAGCGCTGAGCATGTGGAGCGTGTCGAGAGGATGGTACCGCTCAGAGCGGCACCAGAACTACCAGGGCAGCGGCATGAATGTTCGCACCGACCTCTGAGGTGATGTCGCGCACGGGTGACACAAGTCAAATATCACGGATCAGAAGCGCTTGAGGCTCTGAACTGGTGGTGCCTTTGTTCGACACCTCCCGGAAGTGTCAAGGCCAACATGGCAAGCATGGCCTGCATTCCACACCGCGTGAGTTGAAGGTGCGATCAAGTGCATCAACAAGCATGAGGGTGGGAGATTCATGGGTACATGTGTTACACACCCATGATATTTTTTTGGACAGGTTCTGCATTCAGCCAAGAGGATGTCGACTACGTGACCCAGGCCCACCAATTGGAGCAACGGACACACAAATTTCTGATTCCAAGGTTGCCCACCACATTGGGATGATGCTAGAGGGACCCGATGCTGGCCTGAGACGGGTCCGCCATGTGAGTTGCGTTTGGTCCGCCTGGACGTAGCCCGAGATTTGCTATTGCCAGGTTCTCGCGCTCACGCGGCAGAAGATGCAGTCGAAGGCAGTGATCCAGGCGACGCTTGCAGTCCCCGTGTGCACCGTGTACCGTAGCCGCCGTAGCCTGTGCCCTGTGGATCCCCGATCAGGCAGCTGACCTGGACCGGGGCGCAGTCATGTGCAACCTGGTTAAAGCGGAGCGGCTCCCGAACCGTGCAGCGGCCGCCTCAGGTGTCTTGCTTTCTTGCCTGCTTGTCTTCCTTCAAACGCATCAGGTTCAGAAGCCGGCGACGAAGGCTCAGAAGCAGAAGAAGATCATCGACCCCTACGTGACCTTCAGCATTGCTCGTCGTGGCTCAAGTCAGTTCCGCCTCTCATTGCGCCCAAAGCTCTCTGAGGCGGAAATCCGCTGCAGCAGAAGCCTGGGGCACTTGGCTAAGCCCCAATCCAGAACTGGACATAGTTGGACTATTGGACAGCGGCCACCAAATGGAGCATACCAAAAAACGTGCACCAAATTCAGGTCGAGGAGAGAGTCATGCGGGGCCGCAACAAAGACCGGAAGGCCCCGCACTCTTGCTTCGCAGCTTTATGCCTTGCATGCCTAGCATGACTTGACTTGAATGGCCTTGCGTGCCAGACGGCCGTCCGCAGATTCGCAAAGTCTTTGACAGTGCTGGAGGACTGAAAGTGTTGAAAGGTGAGGGCAGACTTGGAGCTCATGATATGCTCTGAGAATCTCGCCCTCAGGATTCCAATCCTGTTTGGAATGAATCCATAGCGCTGGCCTTTCCGAAGAAGTTTGAAGACATGCCGCTAGAGGAGCTCGAGCCTTGTCTTGTAGTGGGAGAATTCGGCATCTTGGAGGAGCTATGGGTTCACGTCCTTTTGTGGGACTACGATTCGTTGGGATCTCAACGTCCTGAAATGTCCTTAATGCTACTATGGTCACTTAGATCAATCTGTTCAGAACACGCGTCTCTTGGAACACGTGGCCTCTATTTGCTCATTTGGTTTCTTAGATACTTTTTCAGGTTGACCAGCGACGACCTCGTGGCCCACGCCGCCTTCCCGCTCTCGGAGATCCGAGCAGGGCGTATGAAGGAGGCCGGCCGTTTTGAAGCCTCAGCGAATTGCAGCGAGTGGGGCAAGAAGCACGAGCGAGCGACTGTCGAAGCTTGCGAGGGACCCTGTCGGTCGCCGGGTTGAGGTGGCAGCACATCGGCTCCATCCATTGCCTGGCTTCGCCCGCACCCATGCACGCCTTACAACACGCCTTACGTGCGAACCGGACATTCCCTAGGAGCACGACCTGTCGAGTTCGAGATTGTGGGCCCCGTGCTCAAGTGACAGTTCTCTAGAGTTCTCTAAGTCTCGGCTGTGGGTTGAGGTATCCTTCGATCCTTGCGTGCCGGAGTGAGACAGCACCTTTGAAGAGCTCCTCCGCTTAGCTTACGGGCTTCAAGGGACCGTAGAACAGGCTCGTGGCACTGCCCGCCTGCATACAATGTGTCACCAGACGGTTTCAAGATGCGCTAGCCCGGCTAGCGGAAAAGGCCGGAATGAGCATCGGCACATTCGCCTCAGATTTGAAGCAAAGGAGATGTGCAAGTATTATGAAATGCATTCAATTGTGCATGCGCGTGTCACATGGATTTGGGCTGCAGTTGGGTCAGAGCAGCCTTGGTGAGGGTGATAGACTATAAGATTGCTAACTCAGCATATCATGCACTTCTCACATTTAATTGCGCATATGTTGTCATGAGTACAGCGCACAATAAGCATTCAGGCATATCTTACAGCGTAGGAAGTCCAGGAAGTCGAGCATTGGGGCGACCCTTTCATGGCCTTGAGGCTCCCTGTGACTTCGAGCATTTCGATGTCGCAGACGCTGACCCCAACGCTGACCCCGCTGAAGCAAGTCTCTCCCATGTGGAGCTCCGTTACGAGCTTCACTGCGACGGCAGCCGCGTTCCTTGGGCTGAAGTCGCCGCGCTGGAGCAAGACCGGGATCCCGACCTGGAACTCAAGGCGCGAGGGAGAGACGGGGAGAGATCTCGAAAGAGATCTCAGGGGAGATCTCGGGGAGAGATCTCGGAGCCAAATGCAGCCAGGACGATCAACTTGGACTATGACGAAAAGATCCTGCAGCAGCAATTTGCCTCCGCGATCCAAGGTGGGGGTAAAGCAACGCAAGCAAGTTGCAAGCAAGTTGCAAGTACATGGCAGCATCGGCAGCCAGGTGCAACGTTCCAGCGCCAGCACCTCATAATGCTTGCAGCTGGCTTTTGTTCCTTCTTCAGCCTCGGCGCTCTCAATGACCCCGTTGGCCTTGCCTTTCCAGGGTTCCAGGACTGTCCTCTCACCAGGCCCTTGCCCCTCCTTGCAGGCCCTCCAGGCCCTTTAGGCCCTCCAGGCCGTGGCCCTTTTTGCAGAGTTGCAGAGTTGCAGAGGAGGAGTGGGGCCCTCTGGCGCCAAACGCCCTGGCAGCCGCTGCGTCCTGTTCCACTCTGGGCCAGACGGTGGCGCTTCTCATGGCGGGGAGCCTGGCGGACCGCTTGGGGCGCCGCACCGTGGCGCGGCTCGGCACTTTGCTGGGCCTTTGCGGGGTGCCTTGGACAGCGAGCGCTCGCTTCGGGTGTTCCGATCCGATCCCCCGATCCCTGTCGAGCTATGTCAGTGATATTTGCCGCTTGCACGCGAGGTCTTGACGTGCTTTTCCGCTCCGTCGCTGCAAGCCCTGTCCATGGGCCGTTTCATGGGTGGCTTTGGGCTGGGTGCCACCTTGGTGGCGTTGCCCACGCTGCTTACTGAGTGCTTCCCTCAGTCGCACTCGCGGCTGCTGGTGACTTACCAATGCGCGTGGCCCCTCGCGGCCTTTTGCTACGCCATATGGATGCAGCGCTTCGGCTGGCGGGCCGCCACCGGCGCCTCGCTGCCGGTGCTGGCGGCGCTCCTCGTCCTCACTGCGCTGCTCGCGGAATCCCCGCGCAATCTCTTGGCCCGGGGCCACCTCCGTGAGGCCGAGAAGCAGCTGAAGCGCTTGGGCGCCAACCTCAATGAGCGCAACTCGGACTGCAAGCGAAAAAAGGCATTTCATGGCATGTAATGGCATTTCAGGGCATTTAATGGCTTAATGCCCGTTCTGGCAGTTGGACAAATGCCTCCCCCCGGATACGCCCTGAGCCTCTTGTGGTAGAATCGTGTTGGCAGATGCCTTACAAGTTCGTACTTCATTCCTCAAGATTGGTGAGCCCATTGAGCCCATTGCGCCCATTGAGCCCATGCGATATGTGACATATGTGCCCATTTGCATCGAGGACGTGACTCCTCTGAAGAGGTGGTCAAAGCTAGTGGCATCACTGCAAACTGGCGCCTGTATCTGCGGTTCTTGGTCTGTTTCTTCCTGTGCGGCATGGCGTCGCAGCTGGTGAAGGTGTGGCTGCCCACCATCATGTCCCGCTTCGGGCGCAGTGGTGGGTCCGGCGGCGCCTTTGTGCTGATGTGGGGCGTGGAGGCGGTGGGCATCATTTCTATGGCGCTGATGTTTGGGGGGCAGACGACCAGCAAGAAGGAACCCGTGTCAACCGCACTCGAGGGGCAGCTGAGGGTGTGCTGTCTCAGCTTTTTCCTGGCCTGCAACTGCGTGATGGCCATCCTGGAAGTCGAGAACCTGTCCGTCATCGGAGTCCTGGGGGGTGTGCACCTTGTGTCGCAGGACCGACATGTGTTCATGTCTATGCCGCATATGCGTCGAATTCATGATCACGTGAAGCCCCGAGGCGGCTGCGTTCAACTTTCTTTTCCCCTTCGCGTCCTCTACCTTCGAGCCTGCAGTGCGTGGTCGACTGGTCGCAGGGCTTCTCTTGGCATCGCAAGTGGGCTGCTTCGTGGGGCCGTTGGTGGGATCCGCGATTCTCCAGGCCACTTCATGGCCATGGCCTTGAGAACTTGAGGGTCTTGACTGGAATGAACAAGGTTCCGAGTGTGAGCCTTGCAAAGCAGCCAGGCGAGCACTGGCCCCTTCTCCGGAACCGTGTCCTTGTGCACAGCTGGCGCAGCTTACTTCATTGGCTCCATGTTGGTCCGAGGCCTGATGCGAAGACTTGCAGGCAGAAAGCGTTGAAAGAGCCGAATTCTTTGCTAGGTTGCTAGGGCAAGGTGAAACGCTTGGATCATGCCACAGGCATAAGACAAGTGTGACCCGGCTTAAACAGCCCGGCCCACCGCTCTAGAATCTATGAGGATCACCCAAGGCTACAGTTACACTTTGGTGCATTTGGCTGTCTTGCAGCATTTTAGCTGTTGCCGAGCTTGCGGCTGTTTGCTCTTTCCAGTGACTGGCCTGAAACGCGGTGCCCAGATCCTCCTAATCCCGATAGATTTTTGTTCGAATTCACAGGCCGTAGGCCTTGCACCTGCAAGGCGAGGCGTGGGGCCGCATGGGGCCTTTGGGCCTCTGGGCTGGGTACCCTGAAGTCTTTTAGGAGAGAGGAGCGATAGCGATAGTAGCGATAGTCGGGCTTGGAGATTCGCTCCGAGTTTTCGGCTGCAAGCAACTTGCGTACAGTGTCACGGACCCCGAAAGACATTTGAGCCGCAATCAACACTTGAAATCCTTGCAGGATCACAGACCATTGTGGGGCCACAAACAGGCACAGCCGCCCACTTGTTCTAAACGTTTGGTTGCATACTAGGTTTTGATTGTGGCTCACAGTTTGCTTGCACCCAGGCGGTTTGGCCAAATGGGCAATGAACCTCTCACCGCCTGAATATTGTCAAATGTGTTCTTTTGCGATCGATGCACTTACCCAGCTTGGTCCAGAAGCTGGCCTGAAGCTCGGAGAGAATCCCGGGACCTGACTGTTGAGAGCCAGGTTCAACGAAAATTTCCGTGGAACTCATTCGGGGGAGGACCGAACGAATCGCCGGCCGTGCTTGCAAGCGCGCAGTGCGCAGCTTGGAGCTTGGCCTCGATCATGGATTGAGAGCGTTTGCGTTTTGCGCCTAGGCAAACCAGCCCATGGGAGTGGCTTGCAGAGCTGGCTCAAACAAGCTGAAAGCTGCCGAGAGTCTGAGTTTGAGGCCGGAACGGAGTGGCTGTGATTGGTTTGATCATTGACACGGACGGCGCATGCGAGGTTGATCTCCAGTCAGAATGGCGCCCCGGCCTGTGCTGTTCGTCCTGGCGGCCGCTGCAGGGGGCCCAGGTTTTCCCAACCCGAACGGGCCGATGCCGCGGCACGGAGGCCTGCCTCTACCTCTTCTCTTCCAGCGCGCCCCAGCAAGAGGCCCCGGAGCATTGCCGCCCGCCCGCCCGCTCGCCCGCTCGCCCGTGTGCCGCGCAGGTCTTCGTGATCCAGAGCCCGGCACTGCGCGGCCAGGCGCGGCAGGTGGCCAGGTGGCAGGTGGCAGGTGGCAGGCAGGTGGCAGGTGGCCTGGCGAAGGGCGGGAAGCGCAGGGCGCCTTCGCCGGCAGCACCCTGGAGATGGCGGCCATGGAGTCTCCGATCGTGCTGAAGGCCGCGCGCTTGGTGTCACTGTCCAAAGGTGAGGGCGAAAGGAGAAAAGGATATCGGATAGGGTGATGCGCAGGCCCTGCCTGAGCCCCGCCCCAACGATGCCATGCTCCCGGCCGGGGCCCTTGTTGTGCCTTGGTTTGACACCATCCAACACTCACTACCTTTAGGTCGAGTTGAACCGAACCTCTTTGTACTGGGGCCTGCTGCTGATCTGCATCCTCTCGGCCCCTTGGCTCAAGTCGCATCCAGCCAGCCGCCGTTGAGATTGCTCGCCCTACTCGTCAGGTGCTCTTCTCCAGCTACTTCTTCAACTGAGCCAAGCGATCCCGTCTTTTTTGACAACACTGCGCTTTCCAGCAGCGCTATCAAGTGTTGCAACTCTCCGAGAGACCGAAGACACGACGTGCCTGCGGGAGACGGAAGAGACTCTGGGCGTACGTTTTTTCAGCAAGCGTCATTGGGATGGTAGCTCGTATGCGTTATGGCAGAGCCTTAGAGCTTCAAACGATTACTTGAGTACTTTATGATAGAGTCTGTTTCAGTTTCAGAGCACTTTGCACATCGAGATGCCAGTATGGTGTGTACAACTAGCAGACACCGCTCGCAACTTGCAGATTCTGCTTGCCTTGCCTACTATGACTTTGGCTCACTTGGAGGGCTCAAGTATGGTGTGGCAACCGCATTCTGCCATGTGTTTTGCCTTTTTGCATGTTCGCAAGTTTGGGATGCATGTTTAGTGTCACCATCTTGCCGCAAAGATCCACCAACGCTCAACCGAGCGTGTGCTTTGCCATGGCGATCCCTGAGCAAGCAGCACTGACAGGCAGGCTTGGGCTGGTGAAATGAGTGGAACGAGTGAAATAAGAACCGCATGCATCCCGGGCATGGCCCGGGCGTGCCGGGCATGGCGGGCATGGCTTGTTCGCATGGCTTCGCATGATTGGCACTGGCACCAAGCCTTCGATACCGCGCCGCGGTCTATTCACACCGAGGAGCCGTGGTTGCGTCCTGCTGGCCTGTTTTGCGTTGCCTGTCACTGGGGGAAGCTGACAGTGCGTTGTGGGCGTTGGATCAGTTGGATCCGAGCAACGGCAAATAATGGGGGACAGGCAAACACGGATCAGTAGAAGGCCTCTTAGCCACTTTGCTCAACTTCCGTGTCCTCAATCAAGCCTCAAGCTGTTCGCAAGCACCTTCCAAGGGCTCATGGCAGGCCGGAAGCTTTTCGGCATCGTGTGCTGTCTAAATGCTTGGAGATTTTGCCATCTGCGTAGCCTCAGCTTTACCTCGGTCACGGGACCTCCACGTGCGTCTCGCTCACGATTGGCCAACTCAGCGACACGCGAGGAGATGTTGCTGAGCGGTCAGGGCATTGCAGTTCTGTCGAATCTAGAAGTGAAGCAGGAGGGCATGTTCCTGAATACCGTCATTGCCCTGGCTGGCGTGCTGCTTTTTCTGTACATGTCCTATGAATTTTGGACGCGCATTGCTTTCGGGCGGCCTTTTGGCACAGCCGATCCTGTGGTCATCGTGAAGCCCCAAGATGCCTTCGCTAAGAAAGCGGTGGGGATCAAGGGAAAGCTATCAATCGGCAAGGATGCTAACAGCAATCGAGGCCGTCGAGTGCTGGGTCTCGATGCATTAATCTTTGCGTACATCATGTTCGCTGCAGCTGCTGCCATGCTGATCTTTGGAGTTGCAGCGGCTTATTACCCCATTTACAGCGGTCAAGTGGCTATGGCGCCGTGAATTCAAGAGGTGCGAGCCCAAGCTTGCAGTCTAGGGGCTTTCAGCCAGGAGCTCGGATTTTCGACCCGGCAGATCGGGTCCACCGGGGAGGGGAGCTAGGGTCTCCGCTCCGGATTGTACATAAGCTGCGAAAGGAGCAAAGATGGCTGTGACCGGAATGCGTTGCGCGGCAATGGAACTGGCACAAGTTCTGGCGTCCGCCAGGCTCTATGAAGGGCAGGCTGAACCGCGCTCCAAGCTGATCCAGTGGAAGGACCGGATGGGACGCAGTGGGGACAGTGGGACGCAGTGACTCTGTTTCACACGTCACGCTGGGAGGTCCAGCGCCTGTTTGGGTTGACCTTTACCGCCGTGACTCAGACAGCCAACCGTGAGCTAGGCGAGAACTCACACACTGTGGCTGAGGTGGCGCATGTGCGTCAAGTGGCTCGACAAACTCCAGGGCTGGAGTTGGAGCCTCCAGATGCCAAGAGGACCAAGAGACAGTTGAAAGATGTTGAAAGATTGTTGGCGGCTCTCTCGCTTCAACAAAGCAGCAAGACTTAAGCAGGCACGGTCTCAATGTTAGAGCAGCTCCTCAATGCCTTCGAAGCATTGAGCGCAGCGGAAAGGAAGCAGACAAGAAGGCTCTAGCTTGCTACGTAAGCAGGCACCGTTTGCAGAGCTGGCTCAAACAAGCTGAAAGCTGCCGAGAGTCTGAGTTTGAGGCCGGAACGGAGTGGCTGTGATTGGTTTGATCATTGACACGGACGGCGCATGCGAGGTTGATCTCCAGTCAGAATGGCGCCCCGGCCTGTGCTGTTCGTCCTGGCGGCCGCTGCAGGGGGCCCAGGTTTTCCCAACCCGAACGGGCCGATGCCGCGGCACGGAGGCCTGCCTCTACCTCTTCTCTTCCAGCGCGCCCCAGCAAGAGGCTTCGGAGCATTGCCGCCCGCCCGCCCGCTCGCCCGCTCGCCCGTGTGCCGCGCAGGTCTTCGTGATCCAGAGCCCGGCACTGCGCGGCCAGGCGCGGCAGGTGGCCAGGTGGCAGGTGGCAGGTGGCAGGCAGGTGGCAGGTGGCCTGGCGAAGGGCGGGAAGCGCAGGGCGCCTTCGCCGGCAGCACCCTGGAGATGGCGGCCATGGAGTCTCCGATCGTGCTGAAGGCCGCGCGCTTGGTGTCACTGTCCAAAGGTGAGGGCGAAAGGAGAAAAGGATATCGGATAGGGTGATGCGCAGGCCCTGCCTGAGCCCCGCCCCAACGATGCCATGCTCCCGGCCGGGGCCCTTGATGTGCCTTGGTTTGACACCATCCAACACTCACTACCTTTAGGTCGAGTTGAACCGAACCTCTTTGTACTGGGGCCTGCTGCTGATCTGCATCCTCTCGGCCCCTTGGCTCAAGTCGCATCCAGCCAGCCGCCGTTGAGATTGCTCGCCCTACTCGTCAGGTGCTCTTCTCCAGCTACTTCTTCAACTGAGCCAAGCGATCCCGTCTTTTTTGACAACACTGCGCTTTCCAGCAGCGCTATCAAGTGTTGCAACTCTCCGAGAGACCGAAGACACGACGTGCCTGCGGGGGCTGTTACAGTTCTGAAAACGATGCCGTCACGAGCAACCATGATGCTGGATCTATTGCCAGAGCAGTGCGGCTCCTGTCTCCAACTTTTGTGCCACCTGCTCCAGGAACAAGTTTTGTGTTCTTCTGGCAGCAACTTGGCATTTTCTAGCCTTGGAGATAGCATGAAATTCTCTGCTTGAGCTCAGGATGAGCCGGCGGGCTTCCCAGGGTTTCAAGATATTCAGACGCTGGACCTCTCACAAGAAGTGCGAAGCTCAGTGATACTTGTGTATACTGTACTGTATACTGTGTTGTTTTTTGCCACACGGCTCGAAGCTTTGCTCCACAGGAAATGGACTCTCTCAGCGAGCTGCTGCTGTCTGGGGGATGGCCTTTGGCTGCGGCTGCTGATCATCAGGAGTTGTCTTCGATTGTCTTCGTTTTTCCGCGACTTTTCTTTTCTTCGCTCTAGCGACACTCCAAAATCACGTTCCTCTGGGGCATCCCCATCCCCGCAGAATTCAATCCGAGAGGGTGGGTCTTCCCAGAGATGTGCTGGGAGTGTAAGTCAGCCTTGATTTCCTCTCCAGGCCTTTGAAATTGCCTCATGGCTGTGCGCCAGCAGGCCTGACTCACCTGAAGTGGAAGCATGTCGAAGCCAATGAAACCATCGCGAGGCCGTACTTTTTTGGTCAAATGCTGGCCTTTGTGCGCATTGCACACTCTAAGAGCCTTCTAGGCGCGATGCGGGGAACGCGGGCTTTGGCAATGTTTCACCGATGTGGATCCTTTGGCGCAACAATCGTGTTGCCCCAAGGACTAAAGAATGGTCGATTGGTAGCCTACATGGATTCGGAGGACTACGTTCGTAAGCCGTGGCCTCAAGCGACAGTCGCTCGAGGAGAAGCAAAACATGCCACACCATCCACACCTGTGAATGGCAGGTGCAACCTGGAGAGGCGATTGCCCACAGGTGTGCAGATCGGAGAGCGCTACGTGGCCGCCTTAGCGTAGCTGAGAGCTTGTCTTTGTGCTGGTCGATAGGTCGCCAGCGATTGTGTTCTCCGTGATTGCTTGCGGATGCTGGCCATGGATGCCGGCGGTCTTCTGTGGGTGTGCGACATCAAGCGCCTCTTCCGTCTCCTGGCTTGAAGTGGACAAAGCCAAGCTGGCATGAGTCAATCTGTGTCAATCAGCTCACGCGGGCCAGGCGAGCGGTTTTGGGCAGAGCTGAGTGAAACTGCTTTTGGCTGCGCATCTCTCTCAGAGCTTCTGCAGCTTCCTAGCCTGCAGTCTGACTTCTTCTTCGAGCAGGCAGAACTCCACATGCTCGGTGAATCTTTGCGGAAAGCAAACGACCGTGCAACACAGACACACGAACAAGATTCCGCATCACACGCTTACAACATGCTGGGAACGTTCTTCGCATCTTTCTAGCTCCCGGCCCTAGATGCTCTAGACAGCCTTGTGCACTTCGCAGATTTGCCATGCGTCTTCATGAACTTTTGCTTGGATGACGTTTGATATTGGCCAGGCCGAGAGCACTGGATCCGGGTACATCGGCCTTCAGCGTGGCTTGCAGAAGAAGCGCGGCAACCTCCGAACGCTTCAGGCGACTGCATCCATGTGAGTTGTCTCAAGCCCGCCAGCCTGTCAGGCTGGGATGCAGACTTTCGCTGGTGTCGAGGGTGAACCGTTGAGCATCACAACACAAAGGACAATCCTTGAGGTGGCCCCATCAGTGGGTGTCACCACTCCAGCAAAAGTCGCCCCTGCTGGCAAACAGAATCAGATTGAGAAGAATCAGTTTGGTGCGGGCAGAGGTGTCTCGACATCAATCACTATCACTCAGAATGCAGGCACCATCAGCAGCGACAAGAGCCCTGCTGGGCTCTTGAAAGGCAAAGAGAATGAGAATGCCCAGAGTGTTCCAGGCACCAGCAGAGGTGTGCCAGATCGGCCAACAAAGGTCTTGGCAGCCCCGTCATCTTCTGCTGAGACTGCAGGCACCATCAGCAGCGACAAGAGCCCTGCTGGTTTCTTGAAAGGCAAAGAGAATGAGAATGCCCAGAGTGTTCCAGTCACCAGCAGAGGCGTGCCAGATCGGCCAACAAAGGTCTTGGCAGCCCCATCATCTTCTGCGAAGACTGCAGGCACCATCAGCAGCGACAAGAGCCCTGCTGGTTTCTTGAAAGGCAAAGAGAATGAGAATGCCCAGAGTGTTCCAGGCACCAGCAGAGGTGTACCAGATCGGCCAACAAAGGTCTTGGCAGCCCCGTCATCTTCTGCTGAGACTGCAGGCACCATCAGCAGCGACAAGAGCCCTGCTGGTTTCTTCAAAGGCAAAGAGAATGAGAATGCCCAGAGTGTTCCAGGCACCAGCAGAGGTGTGCCAGCTCAGCGAAGAAAGGTCTTGGCGTCTATCTTCAAGGATGCAAGCACCAACAGCAACGAGAACAGCCTGCAGAGGAGGCCCACTTTTTTCACTGCATGTGAATGCGATATTTCTGCAGTGCTTGCAAAGGACATGTGAGGATCAGAAGAACGAGTCCCTGGCAGAGGACGCACAAAGGGGGTACTGCGCTTCAGAACTGCAAACTCGCTTTCAGGATGCTTGGCTTCACTTCCAGTCAGCACCATCTCCCTTGCCTCCTTGGTGCGCTGTTCGCCGTACATTCATCGAGTGTGAAGCTGTGACTTGGCTAATCCTGCAGATTGACTTCTTTTGTACTGAACTGTTGAATCGCTGAAGCTGAGGCCGAGGCATCTCCGCAGCTTGCACGCCCGCATTCGCAGCCTCCTTGCTCGCTCAACTTTGACTCAGATGCAGAGGTCGTCTACGTTGATCTGTAGAGTTCGCACGCATCAACCTCCAGATCTAGTACTTGAGCCACGTGCATGATTGGCCATGGGGGCCAGATGGAAGCTGCACAACCCGGGCCATGATTGCTGCTTGCGGACTAACAGCGATCGTGGATACTCCGGAAATGTACAGCTGCAGCTTTTTGTCGGAATTTAACTAGCTAGCGGAAGCTGAGATGCATGCAAAGTCCGGGCAAAGGGTGGGTCTCCAGGGCTGGAATGTTGTTTTGTGCGAGTGACAGCTGCTGCAAAGGCAAGCGACCAGGATGCTTTCAGACAGCTTTGACTACCACTGGCTCAAACAAGCTGAAAGCTTCCGAGAGTGTGAGTCCGAGGCGGGAACGGAGGGCTGTGATGGGTTTGATCCAACTGTTCGGGCTGTTGAATTCACCCTGTTAACTTCAAGAACATGAGATAAACAGAAGCATCCCGAACCCGCTGCACAAAGGTTATGAGCCCAAGACGAGCCACGTGCTAAAGCCAGGCTTGCCGCTCTTTCCACTGTGCTGCTGCCATTTCCATGGAACGCACAATATTTTCAACCGCTTGATGGGGACGGCGCGCTTGGCGAATGCATCCCTGCGTGGCTCGAAAGTCTGGCGCGGTGCGCTGTCGGGCTACATTGAGTTGTGTCGAACTGCGGGCGCCGGAGCAGATGGAGAAGCTGCGGTCCTGGGAGCAGGTGCCGGTCATAGGGTCCAGACGGGCCAGCGATATACCAGTGGAGGATAGGTCGGTGACCAAGATGAGGATGATCCAGGAGCTGCGGCAGCAGAGCCTGCAGCTCAAGGATGATGATGGGCTGACTGCTTATCAACGTTCCTGTTGGTTAAGAACCAGAAAGCGGCGCGTGGCGCCGCCAGGCCTCAAGTGTGGCCAAACACAGCTCTTGGATTTGAAGCCCTTTCTACCCGTGAGCGACTGTGAAAGGGCCGCGCTACCCGCTTCCATTGAAACACTTTCGCAGCACCTTGCCGTTTGACTCCTTTGGTCAAGCCCAGACGAATGACCCCAGGGAGTTTGCGCTGCCCATGGCTGAATTTGAGTTCTTGAGGCCCTGCAACTCACCGGTCCTTGGCAAACCATAGAATTGAAGCAAAAGGGGGCAAAGCGAAAGAGTACCAATCACGAAATGCACGTAGCTGCCAACTTCTCCGTCAAGGGCGCGGCTCATTTCGGCGCCTCATTCGGACGCCAAGCCTTTAAAAGCCGGACCCTTGCAGCTGTCCCTTCGGTTTACGATTGAAATGTTGTGGAGGCGCCGTAGTATCACAAGCAAGCGGCCCCCGTGCTCCAGGTAATGACTGGCCAGAGCATCCGACCCGGACCCGCTCCCGCGGTAGGTCAAGCTGGTTGTCAGGAAAGAATTGCAAAGCAACGCCGTGCACTGTCTAGTAGACGGCTGGGCAGTCAGGTCTATCAGCTTCCGTCGTAGGCGGTTGCGCAGTCAAGCCTCTCAGTTCCCCAAACATACCGCACTTTTTGACAGTCGCTTGAGCGTTCCGCTTGTAGAGGGGCAATCCGCAGGATTCTGGGAGCAAATTGCACGTCGGAGTTTTCGATTTACCCAGATCGTAGAGCAGGCAAACCACAACAGTTACTGACACGAACTTGCCAACGCCTGGTACACTCATACTTGACTTATCTGCGCAATTACATGTGGCGCAGGACCCACAAAAAGGTTTCCCGCTGCAATGACGCCACAATCCTTTGTGAGCCTTGAAAGCGGAGAGTTCTGACGAGGGGATTCCTCCCGCGTTAGCCGACCCTCTGCCTGATCTGGGCGTGTTCAACCCACGCCGCTGAAAAGGACATCCCTCACAGTCACACCCTTTTCCAACTGGGCGAAAGCTTCACTGACTGTGTCTGAGAGGTCTGCCAAGCCCACATTTTTTCTGGGCTCGTCTTTGCCGTGCATCCTCCTTTGGCTGAGGACGCGCCTCTGAAGGAGGACTGGCTGAGGACTGGCTGACAGATGCTGACCAGTTTTGGAGGCAGTTGAGAAGCCTCACCGGGCTTGAGGAAGGAGATGGAGACGCTAGAGACAAATCGACGAGATAGCGGAGTGAGACTGGGGACCAAAAGAACCGCCCCCAAAGCAAGCAACAAATCCAAACCACGAAGCATCCCAAGTCCACAAATTCTATGCACGAAACACAGGTTTGCCAAGGCCTCTCCTTGGGGTCTGCAATCTTGGCTTTTGGTCTTCTTGCTTTTTGTTTTCTCAAGTGAAATGCAGCAAAACTTTGAGGAAGCCCAACAAGCACCAAACATCACACAAGGCTGCAAATCCCCGACCCCCTTGCCCCACAAGTTCGCGATCTTGTTTCTGTTTCATTTTTGTTTCCCCATGGCGTCCCCTTCTTTTTATGCCGAAGGGGAGATCAAAAAGAAGCAGTCCGAATCAGCTGCACACCTTGCTCCCGGACGGCGCATGCGAGGTTGATCTCCAGTCAGAATGGCGCCCCGGCCTGTGCTGTTCGTCCTGGCGGCCGCTGCAGGGGGCCCAGGTTTTCCCAACCCGAACGGGCCGATGCCGCGGCACGGAGGCCTGCCTCTACCTCTTCTCTTCCAGCGCGCCCCAGCAAGAGGCCCCGGAGCATTGCCGCCCGCCCGCCCGCTCGCCCGCTCGCCCGTGTGCCGCGCAGGTCTTCGTGATCCAGAGCCCGGCACTGCGCGGCCAGGCGCGGCAGGTGGCCAGGTGGCAGGTGGCAGGTGGCAGGCAGGTGGCAGGTGGCCTGGCGAAGGGCGGGAAGCGCAGGGCGCCTTCGCCGGCAGCACCCTGGAGATGGCGGCCATGGAGTCTCCGATCGTGCTGAAGGCCGCGCGCTTGGTGTCACTGTCCAAAGGTGAGGGCGAAAGGAGAAAAGGATATCGGATAGGGTGATGCGCAGGCCCTGCCTGAGCCCCGCCCCAACGATGCCATGCTCCCGGCCGGGGCCCTTGATGTGCCTTGGTTTGACACCATCCAACACTCACTACCTTTAGGTCGAGTTGAACCGAACCTCTTTGTACTGGGGCCTGCTGCTGATCTGCATCCTCTCGGCCCCTTGGCTCAAGTCGCATCCAGCCAGCCGCCGTTGAGATTGCTCGCCCTACTCGTCAGGTGCTCTTCTCCAGCTACTTCTTCAACTGAGCCAAGCGATCCAGTCTTTTTTGACAACACTGCGCTTTCCAGCAGCGCAACCAACTGCCGGCAGAGATAGAACTTATCTCAAAATAGGTATTATCCTCTGCAGCTGGAGCGGGTGAGTCTGTCGGAGTTGCTTGTGCGCATGCTTCCATGGCTCTGATGGGCGAGCCCTGGGTAGACAGAAGTCTCAGATGGTCGACCTTGCGTCCCGTGTCACGCCCGCGCCATCCCTTCCAGGTAGAGCAGCTGCCTTACATGCTTTGACTGCACTTAGAACACTGTGCAAATGCAAGTCACAGGTGCTTGGGTCATGGCTTTGAAGGCTGGGCGTGACTGTGACTGGTGTGACTGGTGTGACTGGTGTGACTGGTGTGACTGGTGTGACTGATGTGACTGATGTGACTCGAGCCCGGACCGGCATGCCAGATCTTCATCCATGGCCTCGGCGGAAACTGCTGGGTGGTGGATGGCCAGCAGGGTCGAGCCCCTCTTGCAGCTCTATGCGAATGGCCTTGTCAGACTAAGGCTGGTGCGGGGCAGATGCTAAGAAGGTGTTGGAGGCAAGGTCCGTCTTTTGTATTCTTCATGGCTGGGAAAGTTTCATTGCCGCTTGCTCACTTCTTTTCAGCACAGGAGATGTCGGGAGTGCGTGGCCCTCGGGGCCGCAAACTGGTTCAATTCCTTTTTTGCGTACCGTCTTCCTATGTCTTCTTCCTGCCTTCTTCCCTTGTCTTCCCTTGTCTTCCCTTGTCTTGCTTCGTGCCTTCGTGCTTGCCCTTAGGCCCCGACGCGACCAGAGACTCATCATGGGCACCCAAGAGCTAAAGGCCAGCCATGGGGAGCCCGGTGTGCAAGGCAAGGCACAAGGCAGCGCGTGGGGGGCAGTTGTCGGCTTCCATGTGCTTTTGTGCTTTTGCTTGGCGCTCGGAGGTCCCTGGCATATGTCTGAATTGCCGGCAGCTAGCTGTTCAACTGCGCGGCTACTTGTTTTTTTCCTAGCGCAGATCCCGCCAGTTCACACGTTCATAGCCAAGAATCACACCCAGGCATTTGTGAGCTCCAAGCACATGAGCCAACGCAGGTGGGTGCGCTAGCTAGGGAAACCATTGCAGGGGCAAGCAATGGGCGAGCAGAGCCGCGAGGAGGAGGATCTCGCGAGTGAGAAAGACTCGACAAAGGATGATGCCCTGAACGAGGGTGAGATCTTGGCGCGGTTGCTGGGGATCTTGGGGCAGTGCCCCAGCCAGTCCATGCCGCTTGTGGAGATCTTGGAGAAGATGCCCGGGCAGCTGCGGAACCGCGCAGACGACAGCGTGTGCCGCTGGCTGCAGGGCTTCCCTGGCGTGCTGGAGGTCTCAGGGCCCAAGGGCCAGGAGACGGTGATGCTCACCGTGGGCAAACTCGGCCCCGGCCCCGGCCCCGGCCCCGGCCCCGGCGGCCCTGGCCTTGCCGGTGTCGCCGCCCCCAGCCCCGGGCCTACGGCCGGCCCCGGCCAAGCCGCTGTCAGCACCGGTCCGGCTTTGCCAGGCCGGGAGCAAACGCAAAGCAACGCAGCAAACGCATTAGCAAACGCATAGCTCTGAACGTCTCTGGAGTTCCATGTCCGTGTGCAGTCCGTTGCTCATATGTTGCAGCATGTCATTTGGTTCTGCCCGAGGTCCAGTGCCGACAGGGTCCGCAGATGAGAAACCCGAGAAAAACAACGTGGTGGGTGATGAGGACAGTTCCAACCCATCCTCCGTGCAGCTGCGTGGCCTTCCTTTCCGAGCAACCATTGAGGATGTCCAGCGCTTCCTTGGAGAGCATGCTCAGAACCTCAGTTCTGAGAAGAATCCCAACATTTGCCTGCTCTCAAATCGTGATGGACGACCATCTGGCTTCGCACGTGTTTTCTTCGTGTCTCCACAGGCAGCCCACAAGTGCAGGGATTCCTTGCACAAGAAGCAGATGGGAGAACGCTACATTGAGGTGCTGGCCTACGACCGCCACGGGAAAAATCGGAAAAAAGAAGAGAGTGCAAGAGAGCAACAGATCAGTGCGCCTCTGGATGCTGCAACAGAACAAGCTGAACGGCAACGGGTTCTGAAGGAGTGCAGAGGGCACATGAGTGTGCGTGGCCAACAGCAAATTCTGCTCAGCATGCTGGGCATTGCGCTCTCAGAGGAGGCGAGGGCCTACCTTCGCAGAGCGAATCTGGGCTTGAAGCATTTCCTCGCATGCTTCCCCCATGAGTTTCGGGTCGAAGGGCCCAAAGGAATGGAGGCAGTATGCTGGCTGAGCGCCGAGGACATGACCTGGACCATGACCATCCCAGAAAATGTGCCCTCTACCCCAGACGCTCGGCTTATGTCACCTGGCGCCAAGTCTCCACCATCCCAGTTCATCTCCACTCCCAGCGTGTGGGCGTCACCTCAAGCTCCTCCCATGCACATGGATTTCATGGCGAGCTGGTCGAGCATGTCGAGCTACGGCTTCCCCCAGTTCCCTACATGGCCAACTTGGGAGGGCCCAAGCCGGCCGCTCAAGAAGCCGAAGCCGACGGATGCACCTGTGTCCCGCAGTCACGCGCATTTGCATCCCCAAAGCCATCCCTTTGCCAACCGAGAGGACGAGGAGGAGAGTGACAAGACGGGGGTTGCTGCCCTCAGGCTCAGAGGTTTGCCCTTCAGCGTCACGGTCCAAGACGTTTTGACCTTCTTCGCACAGCACAACGTAGCTGACACCATCTACGATGGCCCGCACTCAGCCCAGCTGTTGCCCAAGGCCAACGGCCGACCTTCGGGGCAAGCCGTGGTGCAGATGCGCAGCCGCAAGGATGCGGAGACGGCGCAGAAGGCCTTGAACCACCAATACGTGGGGGGGCGCTACATCGAGGTTTTCGTGTACGGGGACTCGGAGGGCATGATTGAGAACGACATCGAGGCTTGGCCCAGCAGCTACGCGAGCTCTGCGCCCTGGGCCTTGTCCTGGCCGACAGAGGAGAAAGAGGGCTGGGATGCCCTCATGCAGGCCATGCCAGCCATGCCAGCCATGCCAGCCATGCCCATGCCAGGCATGCCAGGCATGCCGGCCATGCCCAACTTCCCCTTCCCGGCGCCCTACACCGCTGAGGGATCCACAAGGCAAACTTTACAAGTCTGAGAGCACCGGCTTGAGGCCGGGGCCGGGAGTTCAGCGAAGGCCGTAATTCATTGACCGTCGAAACAAGAGAGAACCTGAGAACAAGTCGAGCAAAATCGAGCAGAAAACAGAAACAGAGTCTCACAGATCAAACATGATGAACATACCAACTGTGTCCGGATTGTTGCGGGCCATTGCTTCCATCGGCCGCGTTGAGCCTGGGCAGCAATTTTGTGTCCCTCGTGAGCGGTCTAGAATCTAGAGTCTAGCAATGCTTGGAATGCCAGACGCCAAATGGAACTGTGGAGATTTCAAGAGCGGGGTAAAAGGCGCGCAAGTCACAGCCGGTCACAGCCCCGGCTTCAGTCTGGAGATTTCCAGTTTGAAGCTGAGGAGACCGATTCTTTGGGCGGCCGGCCCAGTGGGCCGGAGAGTTGGCCCATGCCGAGTGTTGATTTTTGTATCTTTGTGAGCTGAAATCACATGAGGTGTATTGAGTGACGGGCCTGAGATGCAGCTGACCTTGCTCGTGCGAAATCCGGAATTCGCCGAGTGGCGGGGCTGTGCGGTGCAGTTGTTATCCTTTAGCAAGTCAAGTTTGGCCCACTGCATTGCTTCATCTCTCCTTTGAGCCAGGCTTGAGCGCATTTCTAACTCCGAGTTCCCGCAGGCTTGGTAGCTTCGCGTTGCTATTCTGCCTTCAAAGCATGAGGATGTCTTCCGGTGTGCCCCCGAGCACGTTTGTGACGACCGAGAGATCGTACTAGCAGTCTGTGGCTTGGTCGCGGCTATTGGCGCGTGCTGGAGAGTGACTGAGGTCGTATCCAAGCATGGCTTCTCGCTAAAGTTCGCCTCTGAGGATATGCTGGAGCCCCGGTGATGCCCTACGGCTGGCAGATGCCGTGTCCAGACGGCAAGGCAAGCGAACCGCGATGTGGTGCTGACTGCAGCAGCGGCCTCAAAGGCCTCTACCCTCAAGACTGGCCTGGAGCGAGGTTCGGCAGACAGGTGCTGCCTTGGCTTACGCGGCAGTTGCGCTTCGAGCAGACAAGGACATCCGATTGAGTCACGGAGACACTGAGTCATACCCCGACTGAGTCACTGATCAGGAACTGGTCCTGGCGGCGGTGATCCGGCACGGCGCTGCCCTGGAGCACGCCTCCGAGGCGAGAGGGAAGCGAGAGGGAAGCGAGAGGGAAGCGAGAGGGAAGCGAGAGGGAAGCGAGAGGGAAGCGAGAGGGAAGGACAGAGGGACGTCAAGGGATGTGTTCCGCAGGAGTTGCAGCGTGACAGGGAAGTTGTGGTGACCTCAGCACCGGAGAGAGTAGATGTGGATCTTGAGAGCTTGAGGTGCTGGCCGCTGTCTCCAACCAAGCCCGAGCTTTGCGCTTCGCATCCAAGGAGACACTTGCGGCATAGGGATCTCAATACAACGTTTACCCTGGCGATCTTGCGAGGACTTGAGAGCAGACCCCGAGGTTGTCTCGGTGGCCGCGCACAAGGATGCATCCGCTCTGGCTTTTGCCGCTTCAGAGGTGTGAGCAAAGCAATTGGCAAAGCATCGGACTCTGGGCAACTGGGCAATTGCAGGTCTTAGACAACAAGGAAGTCCTGGAGTTTGGGCCTTGTGGCATCCATTTGCTGTTCTCCGCGTTCGAGTTCCAAGGCCAGTTGTAAAGCGCTTCCCCTCGGCGCTGCGATACGCAGGAGAGTCAGAGGAAGGTCGCAAGTTGAGACATGGCGACTTCAGGAGCAGAGCTGCGAGGAGATTGGAGCTTGTTGCTGAATGCCCGTGCCTTCGAGCGCCCATGAGGATTGGAGTGCCAACATGCCTCTAAACTCTAGGCCGTGAAACAGCACCTTATCAGTCTTATCAGTCTCCTTTCCATCTCCTTTCCATCTTTCAACATTTCCCCTCCGAGCCCCGGTTGAGAGAGATGCGGCCCTGAAGTTTGCTCCAGAGGCTTTCATGTCGAGACAAATGCCATGCTTTCTGTTTGAGACAAATGCATTGCGAGCACATTGCGAGTTCATGTCCGTCAGTCGCTGATGTCCAACAGTCGAAGCCCAGGTGCCTGGCAGCTCAACGAAATGGCTGCGCGATCCAGCATGCGCGCCACCCAGCATGGCCCAGCATGGCCCAGCATGGCCCAGAATAGCGCGAATAACACGAATAACACGAATAACACGAGCACCTGCAAATACGCAAAACGGCGAGTTGCAAGTGCCAAGCTGAGGCGCACTTTGCTCAACCATGTCTGCTTCGCCGCATGGCACCGCATGGTTTTGAGATTGAGGCGCTCTCAACCCGTATGAGTTGGGGCCGCTTGTCCGGTGTTGCCCAGGTTTAAATCTCCATCCATCCGTTTGAAGACCGCGTCAGTTGGCCTGCATCCTGATGCGTCCGGACATGCGATGGAACGGCACAGATGCTCAATTTCAATAGATTCAATAGATAGGCGCCGGCGGGAGTGCGAGCATTGCCTCACGAACTCTCGTGCAAGGCGCGAGACCTGGGCATTCCAGTGTCTCAAGGACTTTTTGTTAAGATTCGATGGCCGTCCGAGTCCGCCATCTTTCTGTTCAGTCGAATGGCGCCAGCCGGTCCGGTCCATGCCGCAGAGCCCTGACGAAGCAGGGTCAGTTGCTTTGCGTGCTGTGCAGCATGAACGTCAGCTGACGTTTTTTCGTGCCAGCTTAGTTAGCTACAGGGCAAACTTGTGAGTCTTGAGCCCCTCCACACGAGATGCCCAAAATCACCATGCCCAACATGATGTGCTGTTCACATTGCTCTGGACCGTAGCAAAGCTTGGTGCATGCTTCCAGATCCTGTTGAGTCCGGAGTCCAGTTCGTAATTCACGAATTCCACATTTCCGGCGTTGCGTGAGCACTCCTGTGGCAGAGCCATGTGTTGTGCCACGCAGGGGGAGAGCTCTGAGAGCTGCCCACGTAATGACCTTGCATGTTGCACGCTTGGCCCGAACGTCGTATCTTCGCATTCTGCATTTTGCCACAACATTTGTGTGGTACCTTCGCATTTTGGCCACAGAATTCGGTGCAATTGGCATTTGCCACGTGCATTGCAAGTCAGTCGGAGCCCCAGAGCAGAGGACAGGCTTCCCTTCTGAGACGCCGTTCTCAGGACTCTGTGAAGCCGGTGATCTGAGCTGGCCGAGCGCTGGCACTGAATCTAGGTTGGGCTGATCCATCCGCGAATCCCCTTTTTCGGTTCCCACTTTACGACATCTCCGAAGCGGTACGCGAAGAAAGATGCGCGAAAGATGCGCTGCGAGAGCCGACATGGGCACCGAATGGCACCGAGCGCTTTGATCCGAATGGCTCAGGCTCCCGGGTTTAGAGGGGTGCTTCCCCATGGCGTTGAGCGCTGGTGCCTCCGGATCGCGCGAATTGTATATACTTGTATTACGTCGTTAAGTCGCATGTAGCGAAGCACAGCGAAGCACCGCGAAGCTTCTGAAGTCTGTGAGGTCAATGACCGAAGCGTCAGCTTCCAAAGAACCCCAAACCGAGGGAGAGGAGGCGGCCCTAGAGAAAGACTTCCGCTGAAAGTTGGATTTAAGAAGGCATTCACTAAGTCAGGTGAAGCTGATATTCGAGCTCCTAGATGCTGACAAGAGCGGGAAGATTGATGCAGAGGAGCTGAAGCGAGTGGCACAGCATGCAATGGAGAAGCACTTTTGCACATTCCATGCCCTTGCGACAAGGTCTTGACCATCCTCAGTGTTTGGGATGACAAGCAAGTTGACACTCTGATTTGCCAGTTCGACAAGAATAAGGACTGAAGTGGGAGACAAGGGCAAGAAGAGCAAAGGGAATGCACTGTGGCCAGGACGGCGAGCTCTCGATCATTGAGTTCTGGAGCTGGGTCAACGGCCATGACGGGAGGCGGGCAAGCTGTTCGGCGAAGAGTGACGCGCCATGCCACCATCCCGCCATCCCAGCATCCCGCCATGGCGCCATGCACAGAAGGTCTACAGAGGAGTACCGGCCCCAACTTCTGGAAATGGCCGTGGCGGAGCACCAGAAGAACGTCTTGGCAAGTGAGGAGACGTGTAATGCGACGCTTGAGCGCCCGAGCACCTGAGCACCTGAGCTTGCTTGCGAGGAGCGTTTAGCCGTCTTCCAAGCGAGGAGAGCCACGCATGGAGTCAAGTCCGTGTCTTTGGAGATCTTTTGCCCGAGGAAGGCGGCTGAAGAGGCCAAGGCGGCGGAGGAGGCGAGGTCAAGAGATGAATCTGATGAATGGGAGTGATGGGAGTGATGGGAGTGATGGGAGTGATGGAGACTCAGTCGAGGGGCTCGCGCCGGGCTCGACTTAACAGTGCCTTGGGAGAAACAATAAGATAATAATTGCTTTTGAAATCTATTATTTTCCTCTGTTTCCCTATATCTCCAGTTCTCATGGTAGTTCCTCGAGTCACAGATAGGATGATAATGGATGGGTGAGGCGGCAGCAAGAAGGCTTGAATGAAGCCGGACCAGATAGGGATTTATTCAGTAGAAGTATCTTGTCAAGAACATGGAAGATAATTATAGAAATGTGGGGCTCCAGAAGATAGACATGATGGACACTTTCTTTCTCGATTGAGCATCCTGGATGAAACATGATGAAACTGTTGCGACATGAAGGGAATGAAGCATGTGATCGCGCCCTCGCCTCGAGTTCTCGCCTTGCAGTCGCCTTGCAGTCGCCTTGCAGGCCCAGAGGCAGGCGGAAAGAGAGCAGGGCCTCCGCTTCAGCCGCGTGGCTTGGCCGACTTCGGCTTGTTCAGCTCGTAAGCCTTGCCGATCTGCGCCAGGAGGATTTCGTGAGAAGGAAGATGCTCGGCTTTGGCAGAGAAGGAGTCTTTAGGACACTTTAGGAACTTGGGTTATGGCGGTTATAGGGGCAGGCGCTTCCTGCAAGCAGGTCACTGCCACTTTCAAGACGCACGGAAGCGTCGGCTCACGGCCCGGGGCTTGCTCAGGATGGAGGCCGGCTTCTCCAAAGCAGTGGCAGAGGAGCTCTACAACCAGTGTGACCAAGACAAAGATGGCTACTCGTCCGAGATGGCGTCAGCTGTCAGCTGGCGGGGGCTTTTCGACTGAGGAGAGGTCAACCACGAAGACATCGTCTGGTTGGTCTCAGATACCTTGGCCACTGTGGATCAAGTGCTTCTCAGTGGCAGAAGTTGCTAGCGCCACGCACTTAGCTCCTTTGTTTTTCCATCCCTTTGCAGGAAGGCCACATTTCAGAAGGGTGTGCAGAAGAAGGCCGGTGTCATGAATGCGCGCAGCCCATGTCAAGCGAGCTTGAGGAGGAGGAGGTGAGTTGGAGCGAGGACTGGAAGGCAGAGGTCTCAAAGATTCTGAAGCGCCGCGGCTTTAAAGAGGAGGAGGAAGGCACAGTGCGTTGGCCTTTTTGTGCACAGCGGAGCTTGACTGCGCCAGGCCTAAAATATCATACTACGAATACAGCTGGCGATCGCATAGCGATCAAGGACATCTTGAAAGATAAATCAGCCTCGCTTGACTCCAAGCAGTTCCCGCTTACACTGCATTTGCAGGCTCGTGAGCTGTCTTGTTGCACAAGGGGGCGAAACAGCGAAACACAGTCTTTTGTGACTGGGAGGCATCCAACGTCACAGTCTCTTGGCTGCGCTGACTGGTTTGAGCAATAATTCTGAGCCTCCAGTTCTCCCGGAATTCAGGTGGCGGACTGTGATGACAAGGGCCTCAGTCAGCTGGCCCGGGGGCCTGGGGGCCTGGGGGAGGCTCGGGAGGCTCGGGAGGCTCGGGAGGCGACTGCTGAGGTCGAGACCTTCCTGGCCTGGGAGCCTCGGTGCACGATGCGATCACGATGCGGGCTCCGAGATCTCGGGGGATGTCGGGGTTTCGGGATTTCGGGAGTTCTCGCGGGAGCCGCGGGAGCCGCGGGAGCCGAGGACAAGAACGGCGATGGCAGCGTTTCCCCCGAGGAGTTGAAGGAAGTTCTGCAGCAAGTGAACCCAAAGTTCACCGAGGCCCGGCTCGTGGCCAAGCTTCATGGAGTGCAAACGCACAGACTACAACAGCCCCACTTAAGTTAGAATGTTAAAAGCTAATGCTTTGCTTCACAGGTGACGCTGAACAAGATGATGGCGGAGATAGATGTCAATGGCGACGGTGTCATAGAAGCCACCCTGCAATACGATGCAGTACATGCGTAATGCAGTGCGGCATTGACAACTCTGGTTCCAGCCGCTTCACCAAGGATTTGCAGGAATTTGTTTCCTGGCTCTCTGGCGAGAACCTCAAGAAGAAGAAGATGAAGAAAAAAGCTAAGGAGATGTGTGGCTCTTCACGCTTTGTTCTTGTTCCACTTCTGCGGGATTGCTTCATGCTTTTGTCGCCCAACGTTGAGTGGCTGAAGCTTTACTGTGGAGGAAGAACAGGATGCAAAGATAGCTGCAACGCTGCATCGCCGCCCGTATAGAGTTCAGATTGCGGTCTGACCTTCACGTTTGCTCAGTTGCTCCGATTGGCCACTTCGGAGATTCAAAGCCTTCGCTCTTATCAAAGCCATCTCGAACGTGTGTCTTACATTCGCCCGAACCTTCGTGTGAGCGGCGCATAGCGGCCTGAGAAGCAGATCCTTGGACAGAGTTGCCTTGAAGCGGGGCCCTTCTCCAATCTTCGGGCCTTCCTTGCAAGTGGCTGGTTATCTTGGAAACCAACGCCAGCTAGACAAATCCTTGCTTTCGTAAAGCTTGAAACAAACGCGAAGAGCCCAAGGTTTGTATACACCCTCAAGTCACCCAGGAAAACGGGCAGATGAAGCGAAAGAGCTCAAGAAGCTAGATGGTTTCATGTCAGCGCTCAACGTTGGGCTTGGAGAAGCTTGCCTAGCGCTGCTTTGCTGCAATTCTGTGGGCACATGGCGCAACTGCAAGCCGTGTGCACCGCTCGAGGAAAAAGCTGGAGGCCTGCCCGGGCGAAAAGACTGTGATCGCGTCATGTATCACGTCATGTTTCAGCCGCAAAGAGTGAACGTGACGAATGGCGCGCGTTCGCGGTGAGGGTTTGTTGGTCAGGTCCACTGCGGGAAGCTCAACCCCGGCTCGAATGCGAACTGCTCCGCCTGTGGCGGACGTCACGGCTGGGTGTGCCATGGCTGTGCCCTGCCTGAGGTGTTGTCTCGTCCCGTGTTTGGGAGTTCATCACTGAGGTGGCTTCATCTCGTTCACAGAGAGCTGCGTGAATGGTTGCAGCGTGAGCTCGTATGGGTGGCTCCTTGGCACCATGCATTGCTCCGAGCGGTGCGCTAGTGCTTTGGCTTTTAGATTCTGCATGTCCGCATTTGCAAGTGAGGTCTTGCATCAGTGGCACAGCTGCAAGCCCAGGGATCCCAGGTCCCAGATGTTCTTGCACCGAGGTGGAAAGTGCCCAAAGAAGAAATGTGGATGCAAGAAGAAGCCCGACTTCTGGCGCCTCATGCTTGTTGATACGAGCAACTCACAAACTTACTGGTAGTCTACTGGGGAGGACATGGGCTACCCATTCCCCGCAAAGGCTGAGCAGCTAGGGGTGGGCCCCAACTTCCCATGTCGCCCTGAGCGCCAAGGCAGCGATCCGGCTTCACAAGCACCTTGGAGAAGATCTCCCACGACGTGGAGCACATTGTGTCGAGTGCGGCCAAGCGGCACGTCAGTGAGTTCGAAAACCGGAGAAGTTGACTTTGAGTCTTTTGGCAGTTGCAGTATGCACTTGCTAGTGCAAGCCCAGTCTTGAGGCTCAAAGTTCAGGGTGAAGCTGAAAAGGAGCGCGTGATCCTTGGGGTAGGTTTAGGCCTAGACGCGATGCATTCCAAAGGAATGCACGTGAATGTGTGCGGATTGTGCAGATTGCATTGTTCTGCCATCAAATGGCAACTGTCGCGAGCACTACCATGCCACTCTTGCGCCCGAGTGAATGTGTTGAATCAAGCACAGATCTGCCCGCATGGCCCAGATGGTCTCACCACGCTGTTTGGGCAGCGAGATGCGACGTAGCAGAAATCAAAGCAGATCGGCGGAACAAGTTGCCAGTGGGCACACTTTGGTCCGATTGCACCGTCGTGTGTGAGAACGAAGCTGTTAGGCTCAAGGGCTCATGGATTTGACCAAGGTAACGCAATCTCAGTCGCAAGCGGTTTTCTGGAGCAGTCTCAGGGAGCTCCGAAACCTGCTGATTAATTACGGAATAGTCCTCAGACTTTTGACTGTTGGGTTTTCCAGATTCCCCCTTTTTCCGCGTGCCAGCCAATGCAGGCTCGGCAGTGCAAGTCTGTCGTGTATTCTTCAACCTCAGCCATTCCAAATGCACGCATGATCGTCAGTACTTGCTGGTGCTGTGCGGCTTGGTGGTGCTTGCCGCGGCCCCCGTTTCGCCATTTCAGCCGGCTGACTGCCAGTGCGGAGCATGAGGTTTCGGCCATCTTGGCAGCCCTAGGCTTCCGTGGCAGGCCCCAGGCACGAGAAACATAATATGGACTCTGGCCCATTTGCAGCACTCTCAACTGGCTTTGCAGGTGGTTGGAATCGACTTGGGCACCACTTTCTCGGTGGTCGCTCTGAAAGCGACCGATGGCGCGATGCCGGCTCCATATTGGGGGAGGATGGATGGGTCCAGTGCTGGATGCAGTCGATGCTATTGTGATCTACTGTGATCTACTGTGATCTACTGTGCTTTGCTTTCTCATATTTAACACGGCGACGACCGCGCCAGACGATCTCCATTATTCCAGACTATTTGACTGGAAAGCAGCTGTTGCCGTCGTGCTCTCAGCCTTTCTGGGAGTATTTTGAACGTGGCTCACATATCTGAATTGTCTAAGGTCAGTAGTGACATATGTGTCGAATGGCAACGTTCTGGTTGGAGATGTAGCCGTGGCGCAGCGAGGCATTGGGGGCTGGCCGAACTTGAAGCGACATGCCGCTCCTTTGCGTGAGGGCGGCATCCGGAGCGCACCATCTTCAACTCTAAGCGCTTCATGGGCCGAGAGTTGGGTGAGGTGTGGAGCTTTGCATCACGGTTCCGTTGGTTCCTTTTGAGCGCACGTTTCAGGTGGTTGCGGAGCGTGCTGCCCACGCCTACCGGGTGAGCCGAGTGAGTGAGAGGTAATGCTTCAAGCGGTTTCCAAGTGGTTTCCAAGTGGTTTCCAGATGCCTCTCGGCACTCCAAGTTCCGAATTTCGGAGGTCCTGGGAAACTTCAGCTCCAGCTCTTCGGAGCCCAGCGCCAGCAACCTGAGCGCGGCCGCTGCTCGCCCGCAATTCTCTCTTTGAGCACCAGTGCCCGCATGTGCCAGCGCTCAAAGCCTTAGGCGGGCTTCGGCATTGTGCTGGATGGCCAGAAAGAGAGGTCGCTTCGGCCAGCATGGGCTTTGTATCCTTTGCATGCTTTGCAAGCTATGCGTCAGGTGGATTTCGCCCATCGACGTCGGCAGGGAGGTGGTGCCTCGGCTCGGCTCGCAGGCGGCTCTAGAGCAATCAGCTCAGCTCAGGTCGCGCACATGCGGCGCTCGGTTGCGCAGCACCTCGGTGTGGGGCCAAGAGGCATCAAGAGGCATCCAGAGGCATCAAGACACTCTTGGAGCCTATGCACAGTATGCCTAAGATGCCAAAGATGCCAAAGATGCCAAAGATGCAGAATGCAATATGCAGTGTGACGCGACATTACTTTGCTTCGAGAAGCCTCGAGATTTATGCTCAGGCTTCGAGATTTCTCGCGCAGTGATCTGCGTCGATGCCTCATTCAGCGCCTTGGATAGATTGCCTGATTGAACATGCTCAGGTTCCCGCAAAGTTTGGCTGGCGGGAAACGAAGGCTGGATTGCTATTTGCGTAACTTGGCAGATGCACCATGTGCAGAGAGTACCAACATTTTGGGAATGTCAGGCGGTCGCGGGTTCGCTTCGGTCCTAGTTGCTGGCTCGCTTCGGTCCTAGTTTTCATCTCGCTTCGGTCCTAGTTTCCTTACTCGCTTCGGTCCTAGTTTCTTCGCCGTTGACTATGGTGTTTGAGAGGCAACATCCTTGTCGACCCCACCCCACCCGGCATGTCTTGTTGTTAGGTGTTTGAGAGGCAACATCCTTGTCGACCCCACCCCGCCCGGCATGTCTTGTTGTTAGGTGTTTGAGAGGCAACATCCTTGTCGACCCCACCCCGCCCGGCATGTCTTGTTGTTAGGTGTTTGAGAGGCAACATCCTTGTCGACCCCACCCCGCCCGGCATGTCTTGTTGTTAGGTGTTTGAGAGGCAACATCCTTGTCGACCCCACCCCGCCCGGCATGTCTTGCTGTCAGGTGTTTGAGAGGCAACATCCTTGTCGACCCCACCCCACCCGGCATGTCTTGTTGTTAGGTGTTTGAGAGGCAACATCCTTGTCGACCCCGCCCCACGTGGCATGTCTTGTTGTTAGGTGTTTGAGAGGCAACACCCTTTGCGTGTGTCCTGTTGTTAGTGCTCAAAAAGCTATCTTCCACTGCGCCTGAAGTGATCCAAAAATTGCGACAGAAGTGATCCGCAAATGCTCAAACTACGACCAAAGTGAGTGGATTTCAGCTGCGACCAAAGTGATCCAAAAACTGCGACCAAAGTGATCCCCCCGCCATGTCAGGCCACGCAGGAGGCGTTTGAGCAAGCCGGCATGAAGGTTATGCGAATCCTAGAGGTGCCACACCTTACATGAGAGTATTTGAAATTTGTCGTTTTCTTTCATTTTTGCGAGGAGCCCACGGCTGCCGCTGTGGCCTACAATCTGCACGAAGGCGTGATGACGCAGCTCTGAGCAATGGCCTGTGTTTGACCTGTGCTGGGAAGGGCCAAAGGAGTGCGATGGATTCCCGCAGTATTTTCAGTTGCTTGTGCGCTTGTGCGCTTGTGCGCTTGTGCCAGTGAAGTCTGGCAACGGCCATGGCAGCGAGTTCCAGGAGACCGAAGTGCACAGCCTCCTTGGGACACTGGTGCTCATACAGCCGAGCACGGAGTCCCTGTGCGCGGACCTTGCTCGAGTTCCCGGACCGAACCTCAGCGCAAGCCCGCGCTGGTTGGAGCTTTGCTCCTTTGCGAGACCCAGACTGCCACTGGCTCAGCCGCGGGGACTTCAAGGCTTCGAGGTGTTGGAAGGCCGTGCACCTGAAATGCCGAGAGCACATTGCAGCTCCACAGCACCATGCGGCATCCCATGCATCCCTCATCGAAAGAGCTATCGGCCGAGAAGATTCCGGGGGAGGAATCAGACCTCGCATCGTGATTCATCTCGCTTGCTTGCCACATAGTGCCCCGGGGCAGCGACCAAGAAGATAAAGCGGAACATGTTACCGTTACTCACTTCGGAACTGACAACATCGCCGTCGCCGATGCTGTACGACGCAACGATTTCGGCATCGCAGATTGGCAATTCCTCGATGCAGACCTTAGACAAAGCGGATGGGCTGGCTTGCCTCAGAGAAGGACATTGAGTCAACTTCCTGCATCGACTGCTTTTTTGGAGAAGCCATGGTTGATGACGTCATTCAGGCGGTGGAGAAGGGCGAAGAATCGGTCGGTGCTGGGCAACCTGCCTGGCTCGGAAGACATGGCAAGCAAAGCCACAACTTCTATCAGACCATGCGAGCTGTGTGCATTCATTATTCAGTTTGCAAACCGGCATAGATCCCATGATGACGAACACACATTCTCGGTTTCCCCTAGTGGTTTGGACACGTAAACCGACACTCTTGAAGCTGTGCTGCTTCGTCATCATGAAGCCGCTGAATTCGTGCAGCGGTCCCGCGCGTGTCGCACGCACTCAGCGCGTGCTGAAAGTTCGCAGTCTGCCCGATCTGGTGAGCAGACGGTCAAGACATTTTGCATGCGGCGATCAATCCTGTGCAGCTTATTTTGCGACACCGGTGTCGACCTTAAGGGCCTGGGTCATAAAAACTCGGGCCTCGAATTGGATTCTTCGGGTCGCCCCCCCAGAGTTGTCGGCGATGCCATGATCGCATCCCGGAAAGCGGGGCCGACTTCTGCTCTATGTTTGGATCCACCTTGCTCTTATTGACCAACCGCACTGCAAAAACAGCTTGAGGAGAGGCTTTGATCAAGAACAAACAGTTTGAAGTTGTCACTTGCCACAGGCCGGGCTGCAACAAACACAAGGCATGTTGGCCTGCGTTGTCCATGTCCTCGATCAAACACATTGCGGAACAAGCGGGTACAAGAGCAGGAGCTGAGATTTTGCAGCGTGCCCCTTACCTGTACATAGCGCGAAATGTCAAAGGTGCATTTGCAGCTGACTTTGCGGGGCTTCTCCAAGATGCAAGTGGCACTCGCCCATCAGAGTTCTGGGCAAGCAAAGCAGGGTAGCACCACAGCAGACATTGTGACCACTGAGAAGGAACGTGCCAAAAGCTGCGATGAGACGGATGTGTTGATGGTTTTCTGCACAGAGAAGCAGAAGATCAAGCAACCACGGAATTTGCCCCGAATGATTGGCATTGCGCAGCCAGCTCAGTGGCCGGAATATGTTGGTTGGTATCGAAGGACAAAAAAGGGAGCGCATGCAAGCAAATATGTTTTGCTTCCTTGGCTTGCAGCAAGCCCAATCGATGCGAATTTTCACAATGCCTTTCTGCAAGAAACTGACATGGTTCCTGGACAATATTTAGTCTACTAGCGGCGAAACTTGGCGTGAGTCACTCAAACAGGGCTTGCCGTTCCTTTTTATAATGAAGTTCAGCATTGACTGTGCAAGGAATCTAACGCCTGGCTGATGAGCGTGATATGCAACCTGATGCTTTCTTGCAATACCGATTAGATAGAGACCATCAGAGAGTCAAGTTTGGACTGGCCATGGATTCGGCTGTTTGGCAGTGACAGTCAAGAAGAATTTGGTCTACGGCTTTTATTCTGCTTCTCAGTTGTGCGAGGCACAGCTCTTGTACGAAAGTGGTTTCAGGCAGTTTGGAACACGTAATGCAAAGGCACTCTGAAATTGGAGGAGCCCTTGCCTTCTTGACTCCAGAACAAAGCTTCAGGTCGACTCTTTGTGATGTACTCTCAGAAAATATGTGGTGAAAGGAGCTCAGAAACGCCATGGGCCAATATCACGATTCTAGCTGACGTATTTTGCTTGCTCGGCTTTTGTTTCTCAGTCAGATGAGGGCCTGTCTTTGAAGTTGTGCAGCAAGATCGCCTTCTCGAAGCCAGGAGATGGCGTGCGACACGTCGGGTTCTCAGCACGTGATGCGCTCGGCTGGAAAGGACATTGTTTGCCAGGTTCTTGTGTACGATATTGGCGGTGGCACGCTAGACACCTCCCTGCTTTACATGAATGGAAGATCTGTCGCCGTGGCATATTGACTTGATACCTCTTGGGATGATATTTTGCTTGCTTTGGGGCTTGACTTTGCCTGGCTTTCTGGCCAAGATTTGGGGCCAGGTCAGCGTCCTCAGCGTAGCTGGGGATGATCATTTGGGTGGTTCGGACTTTGATGCCCAGTGCTGCTGGCATCGATTTGACTTAGTTGGCCGTGCTTTTCGCCATGCGTGACAGGATGCAACTGTTGCTGAAGTCAAAGCTGGACTGAAGCGACCAGCGACTGCCAGTGGCCGGCCGGCGATCGGAAGTGGGCCATTCCTGAGAGGAGCGCGGAGCTGCGGAGATCGCTGACTCAGACGTTGCTAAGGCCGGGCCATTTCAGCCACCTGTCTGCTATCGTGCACTTGCACAAGGAGAGCTGTGAGAGCTCCGGGCTGCACATTCTGGCAGAGGACATGAAGATCAGGAGAGCGAGAGCAAGAACCAGAATCCTTCAGAAGCCTCATATTGTTCGTCTTCACAGGCTGAGCAATGAGCTGCGTGTGGAGTCTCGTTGTGGTAGCCTGAGTGGGAAGCTCGTGCGGAGCAGCGAGTCATTCCCACCACGAGGCCGGCATAGCGATGGTAGGGACCGCCTCCTGGCCCTGGCCCTGGCCTATCTCCCCTCTTTCAATTTGTCCTTTTTCTTTTCTTTTTTGTTCCTCTAGAGTCAATTCATCGAAGCCGGTCGGAGGTGGTGAGCCGCGGGGAGTTCGAGGAGGCCTCCTCGGAGCTCTTCGGCCGGGCCATGGCGCCAGTCCAGAAGGCGCGCGGGCGCGCGGGCGCCCCTGGCTCCCTCGCTTGGCCTTTGGGTCCGACGGACGTGGCCGAGTCCAAATAAAGGGCCGAAAATGGGCCCAAAATGGGCCCAAAATGGGCCCAAAATGGGGCAAAGACGGCAAAGAGTGAAAGATCCAGGTGTTGGATGACCAGATGATGACTGCCGACTACATCAATGATGTGGTGCTTGTGGGAGGTGCGCAAGGCACTCAGCATGCAAAATGTAGCCTGCACTTATGCCTTCAATCCCGCCGAGGTCCCGCATGCCAAAGCTACGGCAGCTTCTGCAAGAGTTCTTTGGGTCGGGGTGCCCCGAGAAGTCCCGAAGTCCCGAAGTCCCGAGTTCTCGAGATTCGTTGATTCCTTCGCTTAGGCCTTCAAAACGGCTTCATACCGAGATTGACCCAGACATCACGGTCGCTTGGGGCCAGGAGCCCAAGAGTTGAGCGTGCAGAGCATGCAGAGCATGCAGAGCATATGCCCGGGACTCATTCCTGATGTCAGGGGCGGCCAGCGTGCTTGATTGACGGATTGACGGCCTGAGCCGCCTGAGCCGCCTGAGCCGCCTGAGCCGCCTGAGCCGCCTGAGCCAGTGCGCAAAGGGCGACTGGATCGTTAATGCACCCAGCTGAAAAGCTACTGGCTCGTCCGGTCTATGACCTGGACGAACTGAAGGTTTGGTCAACCGATTCATCTTTGATTCACTTTCATCACTTTCAATTTGAGTTCTTCGACTTCGACTCACAATTTTGGCTGTGCAAGGGCAAGGGCAGGAGCCAAAAGTACTGGCTAAGTACGGTCGCGGGAAATGCGCCTCACCTGGCTACTGGCTTTGAGGCGCCAGTCAGCACCATATCCAGCAAAGCCCATGTATCGACAGAAAGCAACGGGCCTGTATTTGCGGAAACTCCCTTGCAATCCATATTGTTTTTGAGGAAGTCTGCCAATTGGAGCCGTCCTGCATGTCTGTTCCCATTGGACTCTGCAGGATTGCATTTTAGCTGTCCTCCAGCTCCGGCCGCATTACTCTTCTTTTCGTCCTGGCTGCTCCCCCTTGTCATTCAGATATCTCAACCATCCTGCAATTCTGGTGCCTAGCCGTCCAGTGCAACTGGCGCAGGTTTGCCCTTGGCGCTGCAAGTTGCCTCTTCCCTCCAGCTAGTTAAACAGTTTCTTTGCTAGGAATACTGACACCCGTTTCAGGAATTGTAGCCTAGCCTCTATGGCCCTCTGGCCGACTGAGAACGACGTTGCTGGCTGTGGAACGGGGAGGGGTCGAAATTGGATGGTAAGGGACCAGGGCTAACCGCAGGACAGAAAGGACGCCTCGGAACGGCTGATTTCAGCGCAGCCCGCGGACTTGCACGGGAAGGGACCGGAAGGACAGCTACAAGGGCTCCGGAATGAGGCTGACTGCTGGTTGGCTTTCCTTGTACGGCTGTAGATGGCTGATGAGACCTGTAGGATGGCTAAGAGCCTGTTCAAACCGAGTCGTTCCATACTGCGTAACAACAAAAAGGGCACCATGAGCACCACATACGCACTTCCATCCGCTTGGCCTTGCAGCATTCAAGTATGTATGTGCATTCACTCAGCCTGCCTAAACATCAATATCAGACGCGCAACATGGCAAAACAGTCTGGATTCACCAGGGACGGAGCTTTCTCATATCCAACCTTCTGACGCATTTCAGATTGCCACCCAGGCAGTCTAGCAACATTTGTTGTTGGTTGCGAATTGTGTTTTGTCGCGCATTGGTGGTACCTTCTTCAGAAGCTGCAAGATGACATCTGAGAAGTTCATTCATTATTGACCAAGCATCCTCTCTGGAGTGCACTGTGGACCTAGAACGTGGGGCGCATGTGGGTGTGCACCAGCGTTTTTGCTGGGTCCTGACGTGCGATCGGCCTGGCCTTGCAGCTGCCTGGCCTATCTTCAGAGTCTCACGCGCCAAACGGCTAAAGCGGCACAAACTCCGGCTTCGCGGCCAAAGCGGCTGCGCACCACTTGGCCCTTGTGCCGTCACAAGTGTTGAGCGAACATCACTTGATTCTTGCAGCTGCACAGCAGCACAGCTGCACAGCATTGCGTGATTATGAAGCTGGCATGAAGGCTCAAGGGCATCATGTTTGTTCTCAGGTTGCCATCAGATGCAAGCTGGACACTCTCAGTAAAGATGCACGTACCTTCCAGTAAGCTTACGCACCAAGCATTTTGTTGAGCCGAGCCCAGCAGAGGATCAAGCCACCAAGCTTCACCGTCAGACTTACTTAGACCCGGCGTAGTTTCGGCATCAGTTTTGGCCCAGCATCCATGCTGGCTCCCGGATTTTCCCACTGGTGATGCCGCGGCAGCGACGCAAGGCCTTTGCCAGTGGGTGCTTTTTCTCTCAGTGTACGAGTCGCGGCGCGCCCAGAATCGGCGACCTGCGGCCAAGTGCAAGAAGAAGCCGCAGAAGCCAGGCCGGGACGAGTGAGTTGGTACTGAGTGCTGAGAGGGCTTTGATCTCCCTCCCTTGCCAGCACGCCCTCGGAGCTCATCCAGAAGCTACAGCTACTCCCGAAGTCGGAGTTACAGCGGGAGCGAGGCAGCGGGAAGCCTGGCCTTGCACGTGACGGGGCCACTTCCAGGGCTCCTCAGATGGACATTCCGATGAAGATGACCCCAAGGACTACAAGCGAGGAGGTGCGTTAGGATCTGCAATCCCTTTGAGCTGCTTGAGCTTGGCATCAAGGCTACCACCCAGTCACGCCGTATCAGTTGTACAACGCACGGTGTGGAACTTAACGAAATGATAAGCTGCACGACCTGCGGCGACCTGCGACCCGACCCCCACAGACCCCCACAGACCCCCACAGACCCAACAATGTCGCGCAGGTATCGAGTTCTGTCCAAGCTGGGCGCGGGCGCCTTCTCCACGGCCGGACCCAGACACTCGACGTCTCACGTCGAATGCCTCGACTTCGAGGTGTGGCTTTGTGCGGACGAGAAGGACCCGGGCACCGGCTTGGTGGCCATGAAGGCGGGGTCCAGAAGGTTGCAACTTCGCACCTGGCACTGCCATCGGAGGTTTGCAAGTCCAAGAAGAGTGTGGCCGAGCAGGTGGGCGAAGTGTATGAGAGTCAGTCGAGTTGATTCGACCCACATCCTGCGCTTCTGCGCTTCCGCGCTTCTGGTGCTGGTTTGCCAGGCCCAGGATGAGGTGATGCTGCTTGAAAGGCCCAAAATGCGCTGAGTGGCTAAGCAAGCATCACCTTCCGTCATGCCACGGGCGCGCTGCGTTTCCCTATGGGTCGTACTTGCCCGACAGGATGCATCTAAACGGCAAGAGCTCGCCTTTTGTGGTCCAGGTGCTCAGTGCTCGGCGTGCACGGCGTGCCTTTTTTTGTCATTGGAATCTCAACTTGTAACTTGCATGGTTCCCGAATCCGGCACCAAGAGGATGCTCCAAGTTTGCATATTACCTTCGACCTGCTGAGTGAATCACGCGCATAGTGATCTATCGCCAAAGCCAGGATGTCTCCCATGCACAACGCGGGTAAGTCTATATTTAACTGGCTTCTCCAAAAGGTGAATCATGACAACAGCACCAATGGGGGAGCAAGCAAGCACGTTAAAGGGCTCATGCTGACTCATGCTTAAAGTTACACGCTCACGTGGTTTGCAAGCATTGTTGCATTGCTGCACTTGTGTTTTTCATGGCGGGGCGGGGTGCCTTTTGGCGCAGATGACGGATCACTTCTGGCATACTGGTCCCAACGGCCGTCACAAGTGCATGACCTTTGAGGCATTGGCAGGTGGAAACTTGTTGCCGGCCCGTATTTGAACTGGCAGGTCATGGGGGAAAACCTTCTTGCCTTGGTGCCGGCCCTGAAAGATAGCATGCAGAGATTCCACTTGTAACGTTGATGTGTAGCGCGTGTTTTGCAAGGTGAAGCACTATGACTACCAGGGCATTCCCTTAGACATGTGCCGGCGGATCTCAAGGCCGTTGAGTGCATGACGCGAGTCACCAACCGTCTTGCGTCTTGCGTCGCCGTTTTGGCCGTTTTGGCCGTTTTGGCCCCGAGACATGCAGAAGGCGACTCAGTAGAACGAAGCACGACACGTAGGGAGCATTAGGGAGCTATTGTTTCAACGTATGCGCGCATAAGGCATGCCCTTGTGAGCCAACGCGCGGACGATGCAGCTGACGCTGTGCATCCCGCCAGTGCAAGGTGCATGGCGAAACAACTCTGAACATTCAGCCCACAACCGTATTGCTCTGACAGCAATGCACAAGCAATCGGCATGTGAAGTCCTAGAGTCCACTGCTCATGCCATGTACAGAGTGCCGTGCCCTCAGCCAGTGGCGGAACAGCGACAGCGAGACATCGTGCAAGGCGTTGAGTGGAGCCCACGTCCAAGTGGAGGTGCGGCCCTCAGACGGAAATGGCCAGTCCGGGAATTGTCGCCACGGATGTTGTGGTAAGGTCCTGGTTCCAGCCGCGACCGCTATGTGGCAGCCTCAGCTTCCTTCAAAACTTGAAGGAGTCAGACTCCTTCACTTCCGCACGACTTACGCAGGTCGAAGCTGAACCCCGGGCACCGCCTGAAAGAGACGAAGGCTCGATCTCGATGGAGAGACGGAGACTCTCGGATGCGGCTTGCGAGGTGGAGCTGCACAAGCACCGGACGCTGGCCGCCTCCAAGGCCGGACGAACCAGCGCAAAAAGAAAATGCTCGGAGAGCGGAAAGGTTTCCGCGAGAGCGGAAAGGGCAAACTCCTTTCACATCCGCGAGGATCTGCAGCTGCGCCAGCACACGGACCGCCTTGTAACAGCCATCAACCTCCGTCACCGGGAGGCTGAGGTTTACACTTGTCATACACTTTGGAGTTTTTGCTAGTCGTTGCTTGTCTTGCTCTTCATGTCTCTTCCAAATTCGGAGCCAGGCTGAGTGCCGCCGCCACGTGTTTTGGGTCGGGGCGAGTTAAGGTTGGAAACCTGAATCCTAAAAGCTAAACATGGCATGAGGAAATCTTGTCGCATGAGAGGAGACGGCACATTGAACACTGTTCAGACAGGTTCAGACAGGTTCAGACTGTTCATTTCTTTCTAACTTTGGCACATTTTGGCGATCGCCAGGTTGGAGGAGGAGTTGCAGAGCGCCGGGTCCAGCCACAGCGAGGCCTCGCGTCGAGCGACGCCCAGCGCCGAGCGACAGATTTGAGGCGCTGGAAGCGCAGCATCAACGCCTGCGGGACCGACTTTCCACCGTTTCCTTCCGCTTCTTCCCTTTCTTCTGCTTCTTTTTGCTTCTCTTTGCTTCTCTTTGCTTCTCTCTTTGCTTCTCTTTGCTTTTCTCCTTTCCTCTTCTTTCCTCTTCTTTCCTCCTTCCCTCGTCCCTCTTGAACGGTTTCCCGTTCTATCGGCCGGACTTGCGAGAGAAATGCGGCTCCAGGAGCTGCACAGAGAGGAGCTGTTCGGATCCCGCCTCACTCCTTCCAAGAGCGAGCGGATGGCGTGCGCCTTCAGGGAAGCTCCGGCTGGCTGAGGAGAAGGAGGAAAAGGCTCTGCAGGCGTGCCTACATGTAGGCAATGTAGGCAATGTAGGCAATGTAGGCATTTTGCATCTCGCAATTTGCATGTCTTTTGCATCTTGCACGTTCCGGCAGGAGCAGGCAGAGACGGAGCCGCCTTCCTTGCGGCTGCTGCGGGACAGGGTTGAGGGCAATTCGTTGTTGACACATATTGCATATTATTGCATCATATTGCTGGCCGATGCCTTGCAAGAGGCAAGTCTGTCGATTTGGGAGGGCAGCTGCGAACAAGGCGTTTTGGCTCGCTTGAGCAACAATTGACATCTCTGGAAACCTGGGAAAAGAAAATCGTAGGGCACAGTCCAAAACAGAAGGTGCGGCCGCGCCTTTGATTCTTCACATGGTGCCCGGGTGCCCCACACGGTTTTGGGTAGACTCCCAGGCTTTTATGCTGCCTCACCAGGCCCATCTTGCGCATTGCTAGGACCCAATTGCCTTCGAAGCGGAATGCAAGGAGGACGGGGTCAGACGGGGTCAGAGGGGAGGGTCGAATGTACGGATGCTAGGAGACGCAAGGCCACCAGGAGGAGATGGACGCTGCTCAGCTGGAAATAGCGGCCATCCGAGAGGACATCGCTCGCATTGGAATGCTATTGGAGCTTTGCCAATTATGCGAATTCTGCTACTGCGCATAGCATAGCTATGCGCATAGCGTGAGGAGCTATTGGCTGCGCATGGTCATGCTCGCTCTTGGAGGCGCAGCGGCTTTCGCTTTGCGATGCCCGAAGCTCCGTGCCAGGCAGGAGTGTGACGGCGAGGCTGAGGCAGCCAGCGTCACCCACGAGGCAATTGGAGTCTGAGATTGCGAGCGCCCCTTGTTGGGCTCGGGAAATATCAGGCCTATCTGGCAGAATCGCGTGCTTCGCTGCTGCAGCACGAGTCTCTGCGAGCACAGGCCTGATGGCATGCGCTATGCGCCACCTAGCATGTCACGTGCTGCAAAAAACGTGACATGTTTGTATCTTGTGACAGGTTCAATCTCGACTTTCAGAAGTCTCTACAATGGAGGAGTGGGCAATTGCCATTTTTTTCTTGATCGCCTCTCGCCCTGCAGGATGTCCAGCAAAGCTTGGATTCGCAGGCTAGAGCGCTTCAGAACGAGTCAGCGGGCCCAGTGCTACGTGACGCTTTGGGTTTCCAGTTGGCCCAGAGCTTGGATTTGTGCCGCTTCCAGTCCCGGCAACGAGGTTGAGCAAGGTGGCCTACACGGTGGGGCAGCGCGATCACGAGCTCAAGGCAGGGGAAAACTGAGAACAGGGAAGGGCAAGGACCAGGAATGAGAAGGACAAGGAACATGAACAGATATGAACAGATATGAACAGATATGAACAGATATGAACAGATATGAACAGATATGAACAGATATGAACAGATATGAACAGATATGAACAGATATGAACAGATATGAACAGATATGAACAGATATGAGCAGATATGAACAGATATGAACAGATATGAACAGACATGAACAGACATGAACAGACATGAACAGACATGAACAGATATGAACAGATATGAACAGATATGAACAGACATGAACAGATATGAACAGACATGAACAGATATGAACATGAACAGACATGAACAGACATGAACAGACATGAACAGACATGAACAGACATGAACAGACATGAACAGACATGAACAGACATGAACAGACATGAACAGACATGAACAGACATGAACAGACATGAACTGATGAACAGACATGAACAGACATGAACAGACATGAACAGACATGAACAGACATGAACAGACATGAACAGACATGAACAGACATGAACAGACATGAACAGACATGAACAGACATGAACAGACATGAACAGACATGAACAGACATGATCAGACATGAACAGACATGAACAGACATGAACAGACATGAACAGACACGAACAGACATGAACAGACAGGAACAGACATGAACAGACATGAACAGACATGAACAGACATGAACAGATATGAACAGATATGAACAGATATGAACAGACATGAACAGATATGAACAGACATGAACAGACATAACAGACATGAACATCACATAACAACATGACCAGACCTGAACAGACTGAAGAGATATGAACAGATATGAAGATATGAACAGGTATGAACAGATATGAACAGACATGAAGATATGAACAGATATGAACAGGTATGAACAGATATGAACAGATATGAACAGCTCTGAACAGATATGAACAGATATGAACAGATATGAACAGATATGAACAGATATGAACAGATATGAACAGATATGAACAGATATGAACAGATACATGAACAGATATGAACAGATATGAACAGATATGAAGATATGAACAGATATGAACAGATATGAACAGATATGAACAGATATGAAGAGATAAAGTGTGCAAAGAGTTTCACAGTGAAAATGATTCCGGAGATTGGAGGTGAAGGACTCAGAGCTGCAGGAGGTGCGCAGCAGTCTCGCTGGGATGCAGGCGCGGGAGCCAAGACTGAAAGAGGGGCCAAAGACGTTGGGCGCATCTGAAACAGAAACGAAGGGAGATAGACAGAGTAGTGACTGACGGACTGACAGACTGACTGATGGACTGACGGGTTGATGGACTGACAAAATGGTGGACTGACGGACTGACGCACTGACAGACTGACAGACTGATAGTAGCTGGTATTCACAAGATCAGCATGTAGGTTCAAACATGCCAACGACGCAAGAAGTGATTGTGGAATTAAAAGGAAAGCTCGCCTAACAGTAACCAAATGTACATGATCGTGTACATGAAGATGACACATGTCATGTAGGTCTCATCAGACATGTAGCCCAAAAAGTAGAACGACTGTGTTGTAGTTGCTGGTGATACATGTTGCTGCTGTAGCATGTTATGGGTGCAATCCAACTGCATGTAGCAATCGGTGTAGTGTTTCGCGCGAGATGTGCTTGGTGAGTCCGTCGGCTGCGTTTTGCAGTCTGTGCACTTTATGCATGCTGATGCAACCGTCGCGAACATGTGCTTGAGTGTAGAGAAAGCGAATGTCCATGTGCTTTGCTTTCTTGCTTGCACCCTGCCTTGCAGCCTTGCTTCTGCTGCGCCTGCGGTTGAGTCTGTGTAGACTCTGATTTGAACCTTGGTAACAACATCTGACTCGATCAAGAACTTGCGTAGTAGACTCTCATTCACGCTAGTCCAGATGCCGTAGAGCTCGCTCACTGCTCTTGACATGGCGATTGTAGCCTGTGTTCTTGTACTGGGGCTTTGAGGAGGTAGATGACAAACCCCGAAGTAGACTTCCTTGTCATCGGACATCCTGCCCAATCAGAATCAACGTAGACATCCATGAAGATTGAACATTGTTGTCCCTGAGCTGGATTATAGGCAGCTAGCGAAGTAGATGCTTCACCTTCTTCCAGTGGTGAGTGGTAGGTTGTTGAAGACCTCGAGCAAGTTCCTTGGTGGAGTAAGCAATGTTTGGACTCCTGTAGGTCAACCATTGTAGCTTTGCAACCATACGTTTGTAAGCTCGATGCTTCTCGATAGACAGTGATTCTGAATCCTCAGAGGTGTGCTTGTTCGTAGACGTTCCTGGCGTAGTAGCCGGACTGCAATTGGCCATGTCCGCTTCCTTTAGAACGCTCTCGATGTAGCCATTGGACAATTTCAACTCCAAGTAGTTTCCACAATTGGAGATCAAGCGTCTAAGAAAGCTCTGTGTTTCACCTTCAAGTAGTCCACCAGTGTCCTTCAGTAGGATCTTCTGCTAAATCTGCTCAAAGAGGTAGCCCACCTTCGTAGAGTTGCCAATGATCATGATGTTATCCACGTAGACCATCATGAACAGGTCAAACACAACGTTCACGTAGACATTTACCTCAGAAATGAGACGTCGTAGTCCCAGTTCCTGCATGGTCTTCGCGAGATGATCCTGCCATGCTTTGGGACTAGATCGTAGTCCATACATTGCCTTCTTCAGTTTCCTCAACGTAGTGCCGTTTGGGTAGTACTTCTTTGGTGGCCAAATGTAGGTAGACAAAGAGGTGATGGGCGCATGTAGAAATGCCGTAGACACATCACTAAAGCGCATCTTCCAACCGCGAGCAATTGCGAGTACCAACATCAATCGAAGAAGGACAAACAGGGGAGTAGAATCGTACATGCTGTCGCTGTCATCAATCTTTTCGTTGTAGCCCATTGCCACGATTCGCTCCGAAGGCTAGAACAAGCTACGAGCCGAATTTCACACTCGAACCGACGATGACCACAGGAATGGATCCCCTACCTGATCGCGTGAAACAGGAGCAGCAGACTGTCCAAATGACTACAGCGCAGCCTGCAGTACCACTTCCCTCAGGTCCGATGGCAACTTCGCCTCCTATGCAACGGTCACCACTTCCTGTCCCTCTACGACCAGTGGAAGATGCTACGACAAGGCATTCAAAAGCAGCTCGCGTTGATGGCCCAGATGCTACAACAAGGACAAGACACTACTACGATGGAGTCACCCACTACAAGGAGGAGAATCAACATGGTCTACTCTGTCACAAACGACGACATGCAGGTCACCCGACTACAAAATCCAGAAGTCTACAACGACGGAGGCTACGACCAAGAGTTGATGAGGGAAAACATGAACAAGGAAATGAAAGACATGAAGGTACATGACGTATAACAAGGAGATTTCAATCGACGACCTACCTCATGAAACGGTACGGGAAGCCATCGACACAAGATGGGTTCACAAATCCAAGACCCTGCGCAGATGAGATCTTGTTCTAGCCTTCGGTGCGCATGGCGTACCAGTAATCTTCTCCAGTAAGTGTTGGTCGTATCTGAAGTCAGGCTGTAGTCTCCTGATAGTTTGGCAGTAGTTCCAACGAAAGACTTTCCATTGTCAACGTCCAAACCAAGCCAGACTCCTTTTGGTAGAGCAAGATCTCCCTTAGGTAGACGCCTGGAAGGAATCCTGTAGAGGATGCATTCGCCTAACTCACAGATTGCATGCTTGTAGGATCGTTCCCATCTTTGCTGGTAGGATGTGAGGCCGTCCGCGTGCACCAACTAGCGATTGAGAATCCAAGCTGAATGTCGTACTATCCAAGGCAGTAGTGGGTGCCCGTTGTTGATGCTCACCTTGTAGACCGAGTGCATTTTCTCACGTACACCCTTAACTTGCCCCAAGAGTGTACGATGAAATCTTTCCACGGACCTTGATGATTCGAAGAGTATGTTGGAGACGTGTCCTAGTAGCCATGCTTCCAATCTTGGCTGCCGTAGCGTTGATCACAGCCTTCAACGTGGGCTCATTGTCAAACTGAAGAATGCGTTGGTTCGTCCGCATTCTAGGACAAGAGAACGTAGACAGTTGGCCATGTACTCGATGTGCGCAGATTTATCCAAAACAGTAACTGGCATGCACATCTGTGTCTGAATGTCAACGCAGTCATGACCGCCAGCGACTCTGTATCCGTAGAAGTTGTCAAGTAGGCGAAGTCAATCAACCATTGAAGTCGTTGTAGCACCAACCGTCAAGCAATATGGTAGAGATGCGGCTGGCTAGGTGCTGGTGGTGGATTGGTCACCGGATTGGGTGGCTGTTGCATTGTAGATTGATTGACATTCTCGACGCAGCCGCCGTCCCAGGTTATAGTTGTTCTGGCTGAAGTCAATTGAGTGCCAGTTCTGGTCATAGAAGTCGTTCTGAGAGCCCACGCCATAGGCGCTCGGCAATCTTGTGGCCCATTCTGCCACTGCATTGAACTCCGTTGCCTTTTCCTCCTGTCTTTCCCTTATTCTTTCCTTTGTTGTCGTAGCCGTAGGCGCCAATGTGCATAGGCGTTGGTCCATCTGAAGACTGTCCATGTTGTAGTGATCGAAGTTTGGCCGCTGAGGTAGCTCGGTAGTACTTGATCACCATGGTCCTCCTTCCTTCGTAGGTCGTGACTGATCCTGCACGTAGTTGACAATGTTGCTGTAGTGCTCCCGTAGTGTCATTGAGAAGCGCTTCGATCTTAGCTCCATCAGGTAGCTCCGACGTATTATCAGTCTCGTATCGGGCGAGGCGTGTCATCGAATTTGGGCTTGAGCAAATGCGTCAAGTAGCCAACGGACCTAGTTCCCACTGGCAGTGAATACCGAGCATGTTGTCTTCGGCATGTCTCGAAGCCACAAATCCCTGCTGAGCGTGCTCGCCGCGCTTGAGCATATGTTGACCAGGATGTAGTGAATGTCTTGGGACATCTGCATGTAGCGCTCTTCTTGCTCTGCATCTTGGGCTGCTCTTCATAGCGTTGCATCATCCAGTGCTCTGGTAGATGATTCCGATGAGTGTAGGAGTGGAACGTACTCATAGTGCTGCAAGGCCATGTAGGCAATGAATTTGTTCCTCCATTCCTTGTACTTGCCGTAGCTGCCATCGAAGGGGGCGGCTGTACGTGTGTCCGGATGTAGCTGGATTGAACTGAGACATTGTACTTGTAGTACTCCTTGATCACGGGATCCTAGAGATATTCTCTATCTTGTAGTTCAAGGTCAGAAGGATCTTGTAGTGCTCCGGTACCACGTGAAAGCTGTGCTTCAAAAGGTAGCACTCGCACACCTTTTGTCACCTGACCTGTAGTGGCTGCCACTTGTAGAAGACTCAAGGGCCCTGTGGAGACGAGACAGAGACAGGGAGATCCAAACAAGCGAGCAGCTACGCAGAGAGGAAGAGACACGGGAGAGAGAGAGAGAGAGAGAAGAAAGAGACAATGAGAGGCAGAGGCTGGCAAACACGCAGACTCATTAACTTGTGCTTTTGCGTGCTCGCGTATTCTTTCTGTTTGTCTCTTTTTCTTTCTCGATTGCCTTTGCATCACGTTATTTCTTTTTTTTTCTTTCCCTTTTACTCACTTTTGGTTGCTTTTCGTGCTGTCTCCTTCTCTCACGCTCTCCCTCTCCTCGCTCTCTCTCTCTCTCTCTCCCTCCCTTTCCGGCTCTCTCTTTCTCTCCCCTTGCTTTCTCCGTGCCTGTCTCCCACTCTCGGAGAGAACTAAGCGAGAGAGAAAGCAGGACGAAATGGACGAGGTGAACGGCCAGCTAAAGGCGCGTCCAAGTGCCAGCAACTTGGCGTCAGAGATCAGAGCCTGATGCAAGTTTTCCAGGTGCAATGCGAGCGCGTGCAGCGGGTGGAGCGTGAGCTCTCACTGTCGCGCGGATTGGGCTGGAGGCTGAGAAAGCGCCAAGAGGGAGACACTACCGAGTCTGCTGAGAAGCCAAGAAGTGAAGAAGATGAAGCAGACTTCATTGAGTTTAAAAGCGTTTGAGGTGAGAAGGTCAAGAACATGCGGCAGATGCTACAAGAGTCCCACAGTGCCTGGCCTGGACCATATCAAGGCACGCAAAAGGGGCAGTGTTCTTCAGGTGGCATTACGCAGCTCTGCACGTTGGTGGACCAGGAGTGCAGAATCAAACATTAATCCCGATGACATCCCTGACCAATGTAAGGCAATTTGCTTGTCTATGACTAATTCAACCATTGCATTGGCTCTGCCGGGCAGGAGCGGCAGAAGCGTGACCAGTATGTCCAGGGCTTGAAGCAACAGAGGCCCGGAGCCTTGGGACTCGTGACCGCCGTAGTGCAGCACCGTTTTGAGATGCTGTATCAGACTCTGTGGACTATGCGACGCGTGGGTTGCGTGGGTTCGGCTGATTGGCTCAGGCTGCGCACAGAACTGCTGCTGCAGCTACTGCGCTTTAGACGCATCACTTCGATTCGGTGGGAAGCTGGCATGGCTGCAGCCAGCAGTCAGGCATCACTTCAAGAATCGCACGCAGGACCTGGATCCAGCCTTAGTGCGGACATGTTAGGCAAATGGCGAGGTCAATCTTTTGATCTGATGTTGCCACCTGCAGGCACCTCAGTCGATTCTCGGACGGATGGACTTCCCATCCGCCGACATGCCCCACGAGCCAATGTGAGCTTCTGAGCATGGCCGTGTCAGTGCATTGCAACTTTGCAGGGCTTCAGGCCTGCTCCACTAGTCAAGTCAGGGTAGGAGCATCGCACTGGCATTTAATGCTCCATTTGGCTTGAATGCCGCGAATGTAAGGACTCCGCAGCCCCGCGCGAAACATTGAAGCGGGGCGAAAAATCGGAGTGCCTTCAGCGCCTCTGCGCCCTAGCGACGTGTGACTGAATTTCTGTGGCCTCGACGCTTGGCAAGGCACACCCTTAGAGGCTTGGAGTACATCCATGCCTGCGGCGTGATTCACACAGATGCCTTTACCTGAGATTGAGTTTGGCACAGCTGACAACAGTCCAGTTTGGTCATTTGTTCCAAGGTGAAGCTGGAGAATGTGCTTCCGCCGCAGTTCGCAAGGCATCGCTCGATGTGCCGTTTGCTGCGCCAGGTGTTGATCTGTCGACATGACTTGGCCGAGCTTCTCAAAGAGGTGCAGCTTTTTGCTCTTTTCTTGGCAGCCAGCCCGTCTTGCGGCTTAGTTTGGTGCCGCTCAGTCGCGCCAGGCTCGGATAGCCCACCTGGCTTTCCAGGGGCAGAAGGCCAAGCTGGAGTGTCTCTCAAAGAGCCGCGTCCTAATACGACTCGGTTTTGGCATCCGCTACCCAGACCTTTGCAGGTCAGAAGAAGAGGCTGAAAAAGAAAAACAAGAAGGCCGCGGCCGCCGACGCAAAGGCCTCTGACGCCGAGGCGGGCATCCGATGTGGCTGAACGCCGTTTCCATTTTTCCAGGACAAGCCCGAGGATCCGAGTCCAGAAGTTCCCGAAAATGGAGTCCCTGGAAAGCCATCTGCCAGAATCTGCCGCAATCTGCGCGGCCCCTCGTTTGCAAAGTTGCAAGGTCAATGGCAAGCCGAACGAAGGCTATGGCAATGTCCCCGGAAAGTCCCTTGCTGACGACATGCCACGAGCGCTGTTCAGGTCAAGACACAGAGGTGCCGGAAATTGCTCAGCCCGTGCCACCCGTCCGGCAACGTGAACGTTTTGAGTCCCTGAAGTTGGAGGAGGCACGAGCCTGGTCCGTAGACTGTGACTCGAAAGACTGCCTGCCAGACTTTTGCCAAGCTGGCGGACTTCGGGAACGGCATCAAGGTCACGCAGCGCGCGCATGCAGTGCATTCGTTGGCATGTTCGGTCTGTGAAGAGCTTGTCCATCGACTTTCGGCCGCGTTTGTTTTGGCCCGCATAGCGTAGTGGAAGCCACACTTCACCGTGCACATTGATTGTGCCGTGGCAGGGAAGAACATTCGATGCGGCATGTGAGTTGGGTGAAGGAGGGTGAGATGCTGTCAGCTGAGGAGGCATGGAGCTTGCGATGCCTCCTGCTGAGGCCTGTCGCAAGTATTCGCAAGTCTCATGTCAGCTGACCCGCTGCATGCGTCAGGGCTTTGAGCAGATGCCCATGCATGTGCCAATTGGGGGCCTGGGCCAGCAGGTGCACTTGCCTCAGAGACATGATCAACCTTTTATACGCGGAATGATTATTGACACTGATTGGCTGAAAGGAGTCCAAGGACAGGGTGCACCGGTGCTCATTGATCTCGATGCTCAGGCCCATGCAGCCGCTGTCGCAGCAACAGCAGCAGCTCTTGCAGCAGCACCTGTTGAATCAGAAGAATCAGCAACATCTCCAGTGCCTCGGCCAATGCCACGTTGGGTCTTCACGCCTTATGCTAACCACGGAGCCGACATGCTCGTGAGGCCCCTGTACATGAGACATGGGACTCTTGGGACATGATTCAAATTGGGCTTTGATGCTTGGACGCTTGAGGACCCTTCTGCTGCAGCAAGCTCTGGGCCAGTCTCAGCAAGCACAGCCTCAGCAGGACATGGGACGTTGCAACATGGGACGTACGAGGGACACGCGCGTTCGGACAGGCGCAGCTGCCAAACCTCCTCACGGGCCGCATTGACCCTGCTGCACTTCCTCTCAAGGTGGATCGAATTTTCTGCTACACTCTGTACTTCTCCTGCACCTCTGCACCTCTGCATTTCTGCGCTTCCCTATCATGCTATTGAGTTTCAAGTTGTTCCAACTTGTTCCATAGACCACTCCCGTCAGACATCACCCGCAACGATGCCTGGCGTGACCACCGTCCCGTTCTATCCATGGTGTGCAGCTCGGAATCAGGTTTCCAGCTCCGCTTGCACCTTTGGATTTAGCAACTTTGACAATGCATTGTTTGCTGCTCCAGCAACTGTTCCTACAATGCTTTTGATTTCCAACGAGCCGTGCCCAGGATCTACCCTCTGGACCAGTGCATGGTTGGGAGCGGTGTAATGTGAGCCCATGAGCCATGACTCGTGACACTTGCCGCATTCGGATTGCCAGGCCGGGCGCGTGGGGAGTGGTCGGTGTGCCTGGAGCAGGCTAGCCTTTTCGCTTTTCGTGTGCCGGGACGGGTCTCGGGCGTCTCCCAAGCGTAGCGCCTTCCATCTCGGCTCTCAGCGGGCTGAAAAATCGGGTCCAAAGTGCGGGCCACTTGTGCCACTTGTGCCACTTGTGCCACTTGCGCCACTTGCGCCACTTGCAAACAAAACGACCACCAAAAGGTCAGGACGGGCCTCGCAACATTGCTCAGTCGAAATCAGGAAATGAGGCTTCAGAGTGGCCATGCCGTTGCGGTGAAACTCTTGGCCTTTTGGCTCGTGTGGAGGCCAGCTTGCAGCGTTGTGCCGGCTTGTGGCATTCCATAGATCGATGCAGGGCATAGCATGAGCTTTGGCAATTGCCAGGGATGCACAGACGTTTGTGATTCCGGCTCAGTCCAGATCCAGACTAGCCAGACTGGCCAGACATGCGACACTCGGCTGCAATTTGGAGATTTGGCCAGGCCACGTCCCAGCCTGAGGATGGTGATTGAGGAATGGGTAGAAGAAGCGAAAGCTTGGGATGAGGGTCGGAGGCAGAGCTGCAACTTATTTGAGGCTCAATGCAGCTTACATTTGACTAGAGCCAAGGATCCCAGATATGGTTCGTCCTGGCTTGCAATATAACCCAGATCTGAGGCAAGCGTGTGTCAGCTCGTTTGCGTTCCAAGAAACGCAGATTTCCTGCACCTTGCCGCTCCATGTCTTAAGGTCTTACTACGAGCGGGAGGGCCCTGGTTTGCTGGGCTTTGACCGGCCATGGCAGCCATGGCAAGAGTTCTCGGAGGAGGAGAGGCGATCCCGTGGGCCGTTCAAGCTGCTCGGAGATGCTCGGAGTCTCGGAGCTTCGAGTTCGAGTTGCCTTGATCACATGTGCATCGCTTGCGTCTGGGCTGTCATGTCATGTGCATGTCACGTATGTCATGTATCACTTCATTGACAAATTTGTGCAATTTTGTGCAAATATTCTCCGATCGCCATTAGGTTTGGTAACAAGGAGCAGGCATCGGACTACGTGCTGGCGCTGAAATACCTTGAGCGATGGGAATCGGAGCCCCAGGCGGGGTCCGGATGTGCCTATTGACTTCCCGGTCTCAGTCCATTGAGAGGGTGGCGTATGAGTGGTCTTGGGTCCCTCTCGGTTTTGCAGGTTGGCGGGTTCGGTTTTGTGCGATCAATCTAGAATCATAGAGACATATTTGTGCATGTTGTGTGTACGTAAGTAGGAATATGTATTCATTTTACTTTTTACATTTTTTGGAAATTATCATCTATGATGCGCTAACGTCTTGCGTGAATCTGTCCCAGGCAGCCGGCGAAGTCTTGGACCTGGGGTGCGGCGATGCGCTCATGGCGCGGGCAAGCGCAGACATATCGAACAGCTCTGAACGCATTCCTTTTTTGTCGTGGCATGTTTTGAAATTTTGGGATTGACCGCTCAGCAGAACTGATGCAGTTGACGCCATTGGTTTGCTTCTTTTCGGAGGACACGTCAGCCGCATGCAAGGCGCGCCGTTTTGCTCAGAGCGAGCACTTCAAGCGCGTGCAGCTGGGTGTTTAGGAGGCAAGAGTGCAGGCAAGCCATACGGGCCATCAAGCCGTTCGCAGATGGGACCGGATATACGGATCTCAGGGTCACTTTCTTGAGGCCAAACGGGGGTAAGATTCGGTAAGATGGCATGGAAACAATATTGATTTGAGAGTGACTGCCGCCAGATGTCTCTTACCTGTTTCACGTTTCAATCTCAATTTCACTGCTTGTTAGGCTCAATCTGCCAAAGCGGAGCGTTGCGGCAATGACACATTCACTGGCAGCTTTCCAAGACATACCACAGGGACGGTCATGCCTTTTAGGTCGCAGTATGCTTTTTCAGTATCCGAGGGTTGAGAGGAGAACGCGAGTCCTTTGCATGTCTCAATTCCTTTGTTGCAACTGACTCTTACAAAGAACATGCAACGGAGACAGATACCAAGACACGCTTGACCAAGTACAAACCATCGATGCATGAACATTCACAGCAATCTACTGTAGTCAAGGGAATGAGATGGGCCATCACCAAATCACCATCAGACAATGCCAAGCTCCAGGGTTCTTTTCACATTGGAGGCATGTAGGGTTGGGAACATGGAGCACAGCTTCTGATCAGATACTTGGCAGTGTTTTTTCAATTGCCCAGGTACGCCCTGGACATCCTATGGCCTCCGTTGGCTGCGGCGCGAGCCAAGGCCGAGGCTGAAAAGACGGGCCCCCAAGACGGGCTGTGGCTGCTGCGCGGCGATGCGCAGAGTTTGCCCTTCCAGGAGGCGCAGCTGGCGCCTTGGATGCGTCGCTCCGACGACGTGAATTCGAATGTCGAGTCGAAGAGTTCTGAAGTCGAGCGTGCCAAGTCGCCGGCTCAGGACTTTGTGTGGTGGGGCTTGGGCATCCACAAGGCCAGACTTCCGAGTGCTTCACAATGGACTCAAGTTGCCGCAGGTTGAAAACGCGGAGGAGGCCCTGCGCAACATCAGGCTTGCTTTGAGGCTCGCGCGGCTTGCTCGAAATCCATGCTGCCTTCCACCTGCCTCATGCTTCAACATGCTTCAACATGCTTCAATTATTCAGCTTGCATCCTCCAATCTGTCCCAGACCTGGTGGGCGGATGATTGCCACGACGCGGACCTTCCTGTATCCGCCCTTCGAGCTGCGAGCCTTGCCGTGGTTTGACTCGCTCGGGTTGTGCGGTGTGAAACAACATGCATGAGACCCTTGTCCCCAAACACATGGTGGAGCCGAATCGCACGACGCTTGGGCTTGATTCACAGGGCCCTTGAGCTTTAGGAAAAGAGAGCGATTGCTGCGCCATCCGCGCGTTCTACAGTGGTAGCGGAGCCCCGGCGACGGCTGGGGTGACGCGAGTGGTCTTCTACCTCAAGAGGGGGACGCCCCGCGGCGAGGTGGACGAGCTGGAGGAGAAGGAGACAAAGAACATCCTGAATCGGCTGATCGTCTTCGGCATCTTTTTGAAGCTCATCTAAGGTGGCTTCATCTTGCAGAGGACCTCATCAGCTACGGCAGCCCGGAGAAGTACCTTCACAAAGGGAGTGGACCTCGCGGTCCGAACATGGAGAGAGGGGCACGGCCGACAGGCTTTCCCTGCAGAGGCCAAGGCGGTGGAGGCAATGCGGCTGGCATGACAGCCGGTGGTGGCAATGACGAGGACCCGGATGACGAGTACGAGCCGGTGGATGTGGAGTTGCCAGCAGCAGCCATGGGAGCTGGAACTGCCCCGCGACCGAGGTCGTGGAGGGGCATGAAGAGAAGCCTGGAGGAGAACCAGCAGGCAAGTAGAACTGCGACCAGAACGAAGATCTTTGTCGTTTGGCGAGCCGATGACAAGACGGAGTGGGGAAACAAGTCCAACTTCCCCATTGTTGCGAACGAGAGAGACCTGCTGACCTTCCACAAGGCGAGGACCTCGGACACCCTCTACAACGAGAGAGACATCTTGGCCTACCTCACCAAGCAGAGTGGGAAGGAGCTGGACTATAAGCGGCTAACCGACAAAAAAAATATCCTCTTCGATGCGGCCAAGGAAGTGGAGATCGGAAACCTGGAGGGCAGTAACGCCATCCGCATCATCACGGATGAGAAAGAGTTGGACAAGATCCGAAGGGATTTTCCCAGCCGGATCATGTCATCCCGATTCCTGCTGACCAAGAAAGCGGGAGAAGTCGGAGAAGACTGGAAAGCAAAGGCGAGATGGATTCTACTTGGGCACCGAGATCCTGACGCGGCCCAACTGGAACGCTATGCGCCAACCCCATCATCAACTACGGTGATGTTGTGCCTTCAGATCATAGCTAGCTGCAAGTACAAGCTCTACATCATGGACGTGTCCTCGGCATTTGGACAGTCAGACCCGTAGGGGCGAGAGCAGGGACCGCTTTACGCAACGATGCCACCTACAGGCATACCGGGGAGACCTTCATGGGCATTGGTGGAGGTTATCACCGCGGTCTATGGGCTTGTGAATGCACCGGCGGTGTGGCGGAAAACAGTCAGGAGGCATTTGCTGGAATTGCAATACACCGAGTTGGTCTTCGACCCATGTCTCTACTACCTGAAGATGGAGAAGGGAGAGAAGACAAGCGGACAGAAGCTGGGAGTTGCCGGAGTCGTGCTACTGGATGTCGATGACTTCTGTCAGGGAGGCAACAACCGACATCATGAGCGCGTGGGAGAACTGCGGCAGCGCCTCAAGTTCGGCAAGTGGAAGGAGGTCTATCTGAGCTCGGCGGACTACATCGGACGGACCCTGAGTCAGTCTGAAGACTTTGAGATAAGGGTGAGCATGGAGCGCTACATCCAGGAGAAGCTCAAGCCGGTGGAATACCAAGGAGAAGGACAGCTTGCTGAGTGAGAAAGAGATTCGCTGGCTACGTGGAGTTGGCGGAGCTCTTCTTTGGGTTGGCAAGGAGGGCAGGCCAGACATTGCAGGGGCATGCGCCATGGCGATGAGCTGGGGCCCACCAGGACCAACGGTGGAGCACATCCTGCTGGCCAACAAGAGGGCGAAGGAGATTAAGGCCACAGCTGAGGTGGAACTTCGGATCCTTCCTCTGGATCCTCATGAAGCAATTTGGATGAGTGTGGCGGATGCCTCAATGGTTAATGTGGAGAACAAGTCGCAGGGTGGCTTCGTGCTGGCACTGGCACGCAGGGACATCAAGACGGGCAAGGCAGCGGCTTTCAGCATCAATTCCTGGCGGAGTCACCGCCTGAAGAGGGTGGTCAAGGCGACACTTGGAAGTGAGGCCTTGGCTATGGATGACGCTCTGGCGGAGCTGGAGTGGATTCGGGCACTTTGGTGCGAGATCCTGGACCCGGCCAGTTGCATCTTGGACGGTGCGAGGTTCGGGGACAACGAGTCGGTGCTTGCGGTCAGGCAGACGGACGACTCTGAGAGCATTCATGTGACAGATGCCAAAGCGCTGTTTGATTTGCTACAGCGTAGGAGTGGCAACGCTGGGCACTGCCGGCGAGCCCAGATTGATGTCAGTGTCATTTGCATCAGCGCTCGGACACTCAGAGTGACAACACACTGGGTTCCGGGCGAGCACATGATCGCTGAACCGCTCACGAAGCGATGTGGGAACAGCCAGCTGATGCGGCGAATTTTGTGTTTGGCGCAATACGCGCTAAGCAAATCAGGCTTCCATGAGTTGCAGGACAAGGAGTCCCCCCCGAAGGATGTGAAACAACATGCATGAGACCCTTGTCCCCTAACACATGGTGGAGCCGAATCGCACGACGCTTGGGCTCGATTCACAGGGCCCTTGAGCTTTAGGAAAAGAGGCGATTGCTGCGCCATCCGCGCGTTCTACATGCGGTTTGACTCGAAAGACTCGAAAGGGCCAAGGGGGGCCGGCGCGAGATGCCGTGAGCTAGGCACGATGGCCAACGCTGCGGGCTTGGCCAACGTCACCGTGGAGTGTGTTGCCAAGGGCACCTCCGCAGAGCGGCTTTTGCTCAGAGCGGAAAGGGCCATGTAAAACGGCCACCGCGTTGCGCGTTGCGGTGCACTTGCGCCATGAGTTGATGGCCTTTAGCCGGCCTTCGCTTGATTCCAGCAAGGGCCCTTCATGCTCTGAATGCCTTGAATGCAGTGAATGTGGTGCTGTGGTGGGTGACACCTGCATGAGGATGCCAATTATCATGTTGCGTCTGGAAAGTTGCTCGCCCGTACGTCGGCAAATTGGCAACAGCTGTTTTTGCTCACAGCGGTTTGTCAAAGTGCCGCATGCTCCCAGAATGGGGATCACACTCTCTTGCGCCTTGCTCGCATGGGCGGTATCAGCTGCTACATTTGTGGCTTTGCTGTTGCCGAGGTGTTCCGCACTTAGAGGGTGACATGCTGGGCTGCCCTCGGCAGCACTCGGCATCGTGGCTGCAGTGGCAAGATGCGGAGTCGCAGAGTCCAGGGGTCGAGCGCGCCCTCAGGTTGCCAGCTCTTCCACCACGGACCTGTCGGACTGCGACGAGGAATCAGACATGCTGCTGTGTGCCGTGTCCTGAGGTGCTCAGGTGCTCGCCGATCAAAACGATCGGCGGTTTTTCGCTTCATCAAAAGCGTCGATGCCTGCAGGACCTGGACCTGGGCAACCGCTTCCACTGGGTCCCTCCAAAAGGCCAGCGCTCATCGGAAGGGTTGCGCTGCGCACAGCATGCCACAGGATGGGACGATCATGCTCGCAAGCTGCGCATTTGTGTCTGGAATCTCAGCTGTTCTGAGTCACTGCGTGATCAATGCCAATGGCAGAGTGCAAGCTAGCAATCGCTGGTTATCGCAAGGATCTCTTGCGTTTGCTGTGCAATCTTTCGCGTGAGCTTTGCGGGTGGTGCAGGCTCGCAACAGCCTGCACTGGCAGGGCGACGCACCTGTGCCTATCGCACCAACAGGCGTGTGCTTGTTAAGCTGTGTTGATCCGCCTGAGACAGTTTGATCCGCAAGCATTTGAATGGCACAGTTTGCAACAAGACCGCCATGTTGGAAACTTGCATGAAGGCACGCAAACATGTCGGCCCCAATGCCTCGACTGCAAGCATGATGCGCCTTGAGACTCTCTGGAAATTCCTTCGAGCCAGGCAGCGCCTGGCTGCTTCCCTGCAGTGATACACTGTCGCTGAGGCCCCTATCTTGAGCTGCCTTGTCAAGCTAGAACAAGCCAATCATGTTTGCCAGGAACAGAGCAAGAACCCAACCGCCAGGATTGCCAAGCTGCAAGAGATGCTGGTGAAGGCTGGCTGGAAGATCATTACGTCTCCGCCGCACGTCATCGAGAGTCTGGGCAACAAGGCGCGCTCCAAGGTTGACAGGGCAAGCCGCAAAACTGCAAGACTACTGACCGCAAGGCCAACCTCCCGCATTATGCGGCCAAGATTGGTATGGCCGAATTTCTGCCTCAACATTATGCATCGCCGGAGAGAGCCGTGTATCCCTGTGTGCTGAAGCCAGCCAAGGCAGGCGAATGAAAACCAAGGACACGACTCGAATGCATGCATGTCGAATCATGCAAACAGAGATTTCCAGGGCGAGTATGGGGCCAACACTTGGATCTGCATGAGCAGAGACGATGTGTGCCTTGACATTTGGGACATGCGTGCCCACTTGTGAGTTGGCATGACCGCATCATGCCATGAATGCACATGAGGTATAGGAACACTCATAATTTTTCGACCACAGCTTGGGTACTTCAAGAGCTCGTCACGGGCAACGTGGAGTTCTCGGTCTCCTTGCTTGTGTCCCGCGGTGTCATACTGGATGTGGTGGGAATGAGATACATCTACGATTCTTGGCTGCATGTCCACCATGTGGAGGCAAATCCAATGTTTGTCCTGGCAAGGACAGGCCGGAATATATTTGGCCAGATGTCAAGGAGTTGCGGAGAGGGCTGTGTGAAGTGCCCATGAGACATGTGGCTGCCATGGCTTCTCGGAAGCAAACGTGCATGCTGAGCCATTGGTAAAATGGAACCAAGATGAACCAAGGACAAAAACTTGTGTGACCCTAGCTCTTGAATTTTGAGCCACACCCAAATGGGGAAACATATGCCGACCATCTGTGCCACATGTAAGCAATATCCACTGGTTTTTAAGTCCAGACCCAGGACTTGTGCTTTTTTGAAAGCATATGTACAGCTGACGGGCGCAGGAAGATGAATGCAGTTCTTCACTTGGTCCCACAGAGGCTTAATGTTTGAGATCGAGTTGAGGCATTTTGTTGATCCCTCAAGTTTGCCCCGGTAGCATGTGATGCCACCACCCAATTGCTTAGACCCTTTGCGTAAGGCTCGCTTCATTCTGGAGTATGTATCTTGGCACATTAAGTCTCGTCGATCTGGCCAGAATGCTTGCTCCCAGCTCAGGATGGAATCCTCAACTTCAACTACAAGGAACGCCCAGCGTGGCTCTCAGAGAGAGAGAGAGAGAGAGAATATGTTCAGTATGATGCAATATGGGAAGTGTCGGATCTATCTGTCTGCAAGGATGGGCGAATATGCATTTTTGAGGTGCTGCGCCCTCAGACGCTCCTCAAAACTGGCTGTTCGGTCTCATGCGGCTCAGGAATACCCGGATCGGCGCAGATCTGGGCTGCGATGCTCCGCGGGAGCGGGCGCGACAGCTCTTCAACCTGCTCGCCCGGAGCTCAACGGCTCAACGTGAAGATTTGCTCAGGGTCTCTAACATCTGGCCCGATCTCTATCTCGGGTTATCCAAGGGCATATCTCGCTTCTCGCATTTCCAAAGTCCGTCTCGGAGTCAGGATCAGATCCGTGGCTAGCCTGTCACACATCCTCTGAGACAGGTGTTGTGTTGACCCTAGATGTAAGTTCCTAGAGTTCTCACCTTGGTTTTGAACTGGACAGATGTAACCATGAAGTCAGAGCAACAAGCTCAGAACCAAGGATGCGATAGCGTAGGCTCCTTGAGGGAGATCCGCGGAAAGAAAGCGGCGACCTGCGCCGAAGCGTTGGAGTTGTCCAAGACGGCGCGCGTTTGGCAGGCTCTTCCTTGCAAGTCCGATTCCCAGAGCCTGCGCGTGTGCGCGTGTGCGCGTGTGCGCTCGCTTTCGAGTTCTCGAGTCAGGCTGTGCAAGCTCCGGAGATGGGCCCACGATCCAAGCTGTCTCAGCTTGAATCGATCCACATGCGACTCGTGCGCTGAGGCACGAAGCCTGAGACACCAGAGGTAGCTCCTCAGGCCGACCCCGTGAAGTGAGAAGCGCAGTGCGAACAGAGAGAGCTGAGGCAAAGAAGCGCAGCGGACGCGGAAAGGGCAAGAAGGACATGGGCTATACGCCGTATTCTTCATTTGAGATTAGTCACTACGCTATTTTCAGTTGGGTCATCTAGGACTTTGAAGCTGCGAGCAGCACCCCCTTGGCTGTCGGCCTTCCCGTCTGCATTGAGATTTGGGAATGTTGGTACCTGCAATCACATGTGCACCTGTGGGATTGTGTTTCGCTAGGCGAGCTTCTCGGAAACACTGCGGTCTTGGATGCTTTGGCTGAGGCAAGTTGGGGCATTTGTACTTGTGTACTGGGCTTTTGCCCTTTGCACCTTAGGTTCGGAGGGACGGGGCGAAGAGCCAAGTGCTGTTGAGGGATGTCCTGACACATGTTCCAGCCTCAGGGCCCCCGCGCACTGCGCTCGGTACAATGCGCAAAGGTGGCAGAGTTGGCTCAAGACTCTGAAGGCAGCCGCTTCCTGCAGGCACTCTCAGAGCCAAAGTCTATGAGACAGTCTATGTCCATCTATGTCCATCTATGTCCATCTATGTCCATCTATGTCCATCTATGTCCATCTATGTCCATCTATGTCCATCTATGTCCATCTATGTCCATCTATGTCCATCTATGTCCATCTATGTCCATCTATGTCCATCTATGTCCATCTATCTATGTCCATCTATGTCCATCTATGTCCATCTATGTCCATCTATGTCCATCTATGTCCATCTATGTCCATCTATGTCCATCTATGTCCATCTATGTCCATCTATGTCCATCTATGTCCATCTATGTCCATCTATGTCCATCTATGTCCATCTATGTCCATCTATGTCCATCTATGTCCATCTATGTCCATCTATGTCCATCTATGTCCATCTATGTCCATCTATGTCCATCTATGTCCATTTCATGCCGTTTGAATGTGCACCGAGTCTTTGAGCACGCATTGCGCGCCACATTGCGCGCCACATTGAGTCAAATGCCTTTTGTTCGTCAGGCAAAGTTGGAGACGGCCAATACCGCCGAGCGCAGAGAGGTCTTCGAAGCTCTCCTCCCAAAGGTGTGGGAAGCGATGCCATAGACTCGTAGACGTAGAAGACGTAGATTCGTCCTACTTTCGCCTTTCCAGATGGAGATGCTGGCGGGGGATTCTTCCGGAAGCGCCGTGGCCGGCGGCTGACGCGGTCTCTGAATGCCATAATCTGACCTACGGGTTGCAGTGTTGAGGTACAGAAGCTTCTTGACATTTGCACTCCTGACCAGCGCCGTGTCTGTGCCTGAGGGCTTGCATTGACACAGGGCACGAAGATGGCATGTGTATGATGTATGATGTGCGCTATGTGCATTATGTATTGACTGCATTAGTTGTACTGTATGTGTTGTATGTGGTATGTGCAGTATGTGCAGTATGTGCAGTATGTGTAGTGTGTGTAGTGTGTGTAGTGTGTGCAGTATGTGCAGTGTGTGCAGTGTGTGTTTCCTTAATGGATGCATGCACGAAGCATGCGGCGTGCCTCAGGCCATCGTGGAGAGGTTCCGTCAGTCTGTCGTGAAGCTCTCGCTGAAGATGCATGGCTGCCGCGTCATCCAGAAGGCCACGTTGCCGTGGCTGTGGTGAAGCATGACCATGCCACGCCTCACATGACTTGCTGGATTTACATGCCCGCCCCGATAATGGGGGGGAAAAATAGTAAAAGGACAATTCAAGCAATTGTCCTATTTACTATTTTTTTCTAACAGCAACACATCAAATAGCAAACAAAAACAAGAACAGCAAGCAAACAAAATAAATAGGAACAACCAACAATCAACAAAAAACATCACAGCATACAACATTAAATAATTCAAACAAGCATACCAACAAAACAGCAAAACTAAAAACCATCAAAGAACACAAACTCAAACACACACACACACACACACACACTAACAAATTTCAAAGCAGCATAACAATAAAAAAAATCAGAAGAGTATCAAACAAAATAGATACAAACAGACAAAGAACGAACAAATCAAAAGAGCATGCCAAGTTCAAACAACGCACTTTGAAAGAGACAAGCAAATTAAGAAAAAATAACATATTTCAATCTTTACAAACCAAAAGTATAGTATAATTACAACATATAAGATTTTACATGTTATAATCATAGTATGGTTTTAATCATTATGGTAATATGTTAATCACCTCACGCAAAGTCATTTTGCACCAACGCAAATCAGCGGTAAGCAAACAAAAATCAGCGGTAAGCAAACGCAAATCAACGGTACGCAAGCGCAAATCAGCGGTAAGCAAACAAAAATCAGCGGTAAGAAAACGCAAATCAGCGGTAAGCAAACAAGAATCAGCGGTAAGCAAACGCAAATCAGCGGTAAGCAAACGCAAATCAGCGGTAAGTTGCCTTGTTTTTTCAAAAGAGCAAACTCCAAACTCAAAATCCTTAATCCACCAGACTCATCAAATTTTCCAACATCAAACCACTAGGTATCTTGTATAAATCTTCCTGTTTATGTTTTACATAACTTTCACCTCATTTTTCCTTGTTTCCATTTGGCAGTCTCTGCGCAGGTTCAATATGTTTATTATTCCTGATGTTGCCACAATCCTTTTTACATAAATCTCTAGGTTTCCAAGTTGTAATGTTATTCCAAAGCCTAGTTCTCTTTCTGTAAGGCATTCCATATTTACAATAATCTACATCTTTAAAATCGAACTCATCCATAAACTCCTTTTTTCAATAATCCGGTTTGGGGAAATTCGATTACAAAATACTTAGGATTGAAATATTTGATAATTTCAATAGTTCTTAAAACTATACTATTTGCATATTCGATATTCCTAATTCCCGTAGTTTTGCTTTGCTGTATTCGGTGCATGGTGGAGATGCCCACACAAAATCAACATGGTTCCTATCAAATTGTTTATAATCCCATTTCAATATATCAGTATTTATATCAGCATTTTTCAATTCCAATGAAATAACATTGAAACCCATTGCTTTTACAACTGTTCCAACACTGCCTGTCCCACTAAACATCTCTAAGAAGTTCATTATTAAAGATATTTAGATAACATTATCTATGAATAAATCCCTGTTTCTTCATCATAGTCAATTTGATAAAATGTCATAGTGGAAGACTTCGGTTCCTTAATTTCTTTGTTATTAAGTTTGTATAAATAAATATTTCTTTTATTTTTATATTCACCATAGTTGAATAATCACGACCCCTTGACCCCCAAAGAGGCACCCCAGAATGGTGTGCATGTATGTGATGTTGGAGGCCCCTTTTGCTTTGCACAGACTTGTCGAATGGCAATGACCATTTTGGCTCAAGATGCCCAGAAGATCAAATCCAGGGTTTGCGCTCGCCTGCCGGACTGGGGTTAATAAGGGTCCCGGTTTCTGGTTCGCGTTGTTTCTTTCCCTGTTGAGTGGTTATCAGCCGTAACTGCTTTTTGGGATTAGGCCCCCTCAGTCCGGTAGTCAGCGCACTTCGTGCATGGACCCGGCTCCGGCCTTCTCGGCCAGAGGACACAGGGGCGGGTGGGTATATCGCCGAAAGCTTTACTACGAAGCTTTCGACGAGCTCACCCGTTGGGCTCGGCGTGAGTTCCAGGTTGGGGTGGCAAGAGTCCCCTGGGAGGAAGCTTCGGACTTGCATCGGAGCTCCCTCCTGGCGTGGCAGGCCGATTTCACCGAAGAGAGATATCGGCACCTGCGGGACATCTACCCCGACCTCTACGACGCCGTCATCGCCCGAGGCCGCCACCAACCAATCCCAATCCACCAACGGGCGCAGGCCGCAGCTCAAGGCGCGGCAGGGCAGGCTCCAACACCAGCTCAGCCACAGCAACAGCCAAGCACCCCATCAAGTCCATCCTCCACCACAACTGTGTCCACCATCAAGGCTGCAGCTCCAAGCGGCGCAGACACAGGCAGCAGCAGGGCCGGGAGATCAGGCTGCAGCTACAAGCGCAGCGGTTCCACCAAGAACCACAGCTGAGAGCCCGTCCCGACCTTCATCCTATCCACCTGCAACTGCGGGTAGGGGAAGGTACACTGCTGCGGGGAGGTCCTCATCGAGGAGGAAGAGGACACCGCCGGCAAGGCGACAACCTTCCCTTGTACCAGGTCAGCATCAAGCGGCCTGCGCCTGCCGGGCGCGACTCATCCACAGCACCCGCAACAAAGACCGCGCGGATTGCTTTTGCCAAGCGGGAGAACCCGGTCAAGGCGCCCCCACAAAGCGTTCTCGACCAGGCAGCTGCGGATCGCGCTGCGTCGAAGGCCATCCCCCCACCGCCGCTGAGAGCACCGCCAGCACCCCCAGCACCAGTGCCAAGGGCTGCAGCTCAACGCGCAGCGTCGGTTCCAAAATCGGTTAGTGGGGTGAGGCGGCCTGAGACACCGCCCAGAGCATACAAGCGGGCGCCACCCTCACCTGCGCCGCAGGTGAGGTACAAGTCCCCACCGGCTCCCAAGTTGCCGGTGAAGCAGCCGCCCACTGCAGCTGCCAAGGGCCCCGTCCCTCCCGGGACGGCATTCAGTGCGCCTCAGCAGGAGGCGCGAGACCCGCTGGTCATCGCCCTCGACTGGCATAATACGCTTGACATTGGCGTCGAGCCCGACGGTGCGCCCAAGGATTGGCTTTTGCGTGCAGTGTCCAAACTGTATAGAAGTCATTATCCGATCCAGTTTCGCATCAACAGTTATTGCCAGGCCTGGGACACCCGGGAAAGCACCCTCCGACTTGCCACCCAGTTTTCCGAGGTGTGCAACAACGCCATTGACGGCTTGGGCACACTCCCGTTCGGAGACGTGGTCTTGACCTGGAAACGGGTCGGACCATCTGGCAAGGCTGCAGCTTTAGCTGCGCCATCGTGGACGACAACAACTCCCTTCTGCAAGATTTGCAACATCGCTAAGAACACCTCAATGCGTGTTGCCCGGAAACCAGGGGGGCGGAGTGACGATCTTCTCGACGCACCCACCGCTCCCTACCAGCAGCTTGCTACTGATAGCGTGATCTTGGCGAAAGGCGATGAACACGTTGGCATCGGCATAGGCGGAAAAATCCCACCATGTCATCAGGGATCCGTTTTCCGGCGCAAGGGTCGCATACCCGGTCTCTAAGAGAGACATTCCGTCGCACGCAAGGAATCTCAGGCATTTCATTGGCCTCAGAGCCAGCGAACTCGCTCCACACTGTCTCATAAAAATGGACGAAGCTGGAGAGTTGCAGGGAGCGGCCGAGGAAGTAGGGATGATCCCCGAAACTTCGTTGCCGAATCGCTGGCCACACAACTCCGAGCTCGAGCGAGATGTCCGAGAGGAGAAAGAGTGTTGCAGGAGCATACACCATCAATCGGGTTTGCCCTACTCTCTGCACACGCATTCCTATCCCTTTGCATGCCTCTCGATGTGTTTCGATCGACCGTCCACATTCGATCCGACAAAGACGCAATGGGAAGCACTCACCAAGGAGAAGTTCGACGGCGTCCGCTGTTGCTTCGGACAGCTCGTTTGGTATCGCCTAAAGTCAGCTGGAAAGAGAACCCTAGAACCCAACATGGCTCCAGGCTTGTTTACGGGCTGGCGCATCGATCCAGGGATGCGATATCGAAGGGTGCTAAAAATTATGGACTACCAAAGTTTCAGGACCAACGGAAATGTTACTGCCCGAGCCTGAGCTGTTCGTCGAGGAAGGCGATCCTGTTTTCCCGATCGCGGCCGCTGCCGATCGAGCCCTGCGAACAGGCGATGGCGAGGTTCCCGAGTATGCAATCAGGGATGTTCCTTTCATTCCTGAAGGCATCCCTGCCCCGTCAACTCCGTCAGGCTTTAAGTCAAGAAGTGTGTATATCACCATTGAACGGATTATAAAATTCAAGGAGACTCCTGGATGCAAGGCCTGCACCGGCCATGCTAGTTCTAGGCATCACACTGACGAATGCCGCAAAAGGTTTGCAGAGCTAGTTGAAAGTGAAAAGGAAGAAGCGAAGGCCAAAAAGGCCACAAGTGAGGAGGCCACCAAACCAAGTAAGGGTGAAGATGAGGCAGCTGCTATACGCGCTGCAAAGGCGTCCTCCCTAGAACCTCCAGAAGCCCCAGAGATTGAGGCACCTGAGGGGAGACCCCGATATCGTCCGTGCCTTGCTTGGAGAGCCCGCCTCTTCTCGGCCCAGTGTTCCGCATACCGACGCTGTCCCCGCATCAACCAAGAAGGATGAATGGGTTTATAAGGCTAGTGGTAACGTGTTAATCCGCGTGCATCATCAGCCTAGGATTAACTGTCCCGTGTCAGTGTGCAGAATCACACCCGGTAGGACCACTTGCGTTGTGTCCCAGCAAGATGGTAGCAAGGAAGATATCAGGGATGGTTGGTCAGGCAGATTCTCAGCACATCGAGAACTCCCTGCGTTCTGGACTGGCATAACCATTTTTAGGTTATATAGCGATTCCGAGCATTCGGCTGCAGCTTTAAGCGCAGCAGGGGGGCTCAGTCCTCACGAGGGTAACATCCCAGTCAGCTCAGGAGCAGCCGTTACCGTGTCAACCGCTTCCAGCACAACACTTGCTGAGACCACGAGGGAAA